GGATCACTGTGAGTTCAAGGTCAGCCTAGTCTATAAGAGCAATTTCCACTACAGGCTCAAAAGCTAGAGAGAACTCCTGCCTCGAAAAACAAAAAATAAAGAAATAACAAAAAATGATTAATTAAAAATAGAGGCATTTGGGGCTTGAGAGATGGCTCAATGGTTAAAAGCAATGCCTGCTCTTCCAGAGGACTCCCAGCCCGACATAACATCTTACAATTGTCTGTACCTCCAGTTCCAGGGGATCCTGACACACTCACAGACATGCATGCAGGCAAATACCAATGCTCATGAAATAAAATTAATCATTAAAAAAAAAAAAAGACAGTTGCTGTACTCTCTTCCACAGGATATATAGACTAATGACACATTCAAAACTGTAGTTGAAAAGAATAAACAGTAAACCATATTTCACTAGATGCAATACATTGACCAATAGATATTTACCTCTGTTACAATTTAGATACATTAACTGTAATACTAACATCAAGAATGGAAACAATTATTTTGGATAAACATTATGATCCCAAACAGCACTGAACTGATAGGGGCTAGGAAATCTCAGCGAACCCCACTAGTTATCGTAACATTTACACAAGGCAAACTGTCTGTCTGCTCAACACATCACACTTTTTGTTGTTGTTGTTGTTGTTGTTGTTGTTTGAGGCAGGGTCCTAGCACAAAAGTTAGCCTCAAACTTCTAATTATGCTTACAGAATGCTGGGATTACAGGTCTGAACCACCATGGCTTAAACTATGCTAAGGATCAAACCAATGGCCTAGATAAGCACTTTGTCAACAGAGCTATAATACAAACCTTCAGTACAATTCTGATGGCTAGAGTTTCAATGTCTGTGCCCCTCTAGACATTTATATGTTGAAACTTAATAACCAAGTAATTATAGTAAGAGGTGGGGCCTTAGCAGGGCCTTGGTGATGCACGCCTTTAATCCCAGTACTTGGGATGTGTAGAGGCAGGTGGATCTCTCTGAGTTGGAGGCCAGCCTGATCTACAAAGCTAGTTCCAGGACAGTTAAGGCTATTACAAAGAGAAACACTGTGGGAAAAAAAGAAATGAGGTGGGGTCTTTGAGAGTGAGTTAAATCATGATGTCAGAGCCTGTTTGTGGGATTAAAAACCTTATGAACTAGCCTAGGGTCTCATTCTCTTCAAAAGGAGTACAGAGCATTTAAGTACACATGAGTACAGAGACTTATAAAACATGACACCTACAAGAGTCTAATCTACACTTGCCAGCCTCAATTTGTATTACTAGTTATAAATTATCCTTATCAAATATTTTGTTATAGCAGCATGAATATACCAAAGAACTCACTGACCTTGCTTCAAGGTTAGTTCTCTTGTTGTTTACAGTTTTTTGTTCTCTTTTCTAAGATAAAGTTTCTAGGGACTTGGAGCTTACCATCCTTCTGACCCAGCCTCCCAAGTGTAGGATTATAGGCATGTAATATACAGTTTCCATATGAAAAGGATGTGATAAGTGTGCCCAATTTAAGATGGTACGTGGGCCTTTACCTTCACCCCACAATACTTTAAACCTCACTGCGCAATACTGTACTTGCATTACTGACTGCTGTCCTTATTTTGCATTTTTACATTCCAAAATAACTTTTATTACCCTAAAATATAAAAAAAAAATTACAGCCAGATAAACTGGCTATCATTTAAATGGGTGCTTGTTATCAATGGAATATGCTCTATGGATAAAGGCACTTGCCATCAAGCCTGACATTGACACACAGATGGAAGGAGATCCAATTCCAAAAATCGCTTTATCACATGTACACTATACACAGGAACACACACACTCAAGCACATACACATGGGGGTGAAGAGATGGAACTGAAATCTCTACCTTCTTTTTTAGGTTTTATTAATTAGAAGAGCTTAGCTGTGCTTAGTGTTCTAACACCTGTGCATTGGCAGCAGAAGAATCAAGAGTTCCAAGTCACCCTCCACTAGTTCAAGGTCATCCAGGACCCTAAAAATGAAAAATGATGATCATGCTCACACACAAAATAATACATTAATACAAATCTTTGGGAAGTGTCTTTTTATTTTATGTACATTGGTGTTTTGCCTACATACACCCTGGAATTGGAGTTACAAACAGTTTTGAGCCGCCATGTGGGTGCTGGGAATAGAACCCTGGTCTTCTGGAAGAGCAGTCAGTGCTCTTAACACTGCCCCATGGAGTATATGTGCATGTGTGTGCAAGTGCACATGTGTGTATGAGGAGTATGAGAAGGTCAGGGAGAACAATCTTGGATAACATTACCTCCTTTGAAACAAAAGTCTCTAGTTGACCTACAGCCAAACTGACAGGCCAGTGAGCTTCAAGTATGCCCCCTTCTCTGCCTTCCCAGCGCTGGTATTACCAGAATGGGCTACTACATACAGGAAGAATTTGTACATTTCTGGGTTTCAAGAGCCATCCCTCCAGCCTGGAAAGTATCTACATCTAGAAAGAATTACTATTAAATTGCTTGATTTAAGACTAAAACAGATATATACACAAAAACAAGGCAGTAAAGTCATAGTAAAAGTATAGACTACATAAATCCACCTACGAAGTATTGTAAGAAATTACAAACCAAAAGCTACGGAGAAACCCTGTCTCGAAAAAAATCAAAAAAAAAATTACATAATTCCAAGAAGGACTTTAAGATTTTTATTATTTAAAAAAGGTTTTTATTGTTTTTAACTATGTGTATGTGGGTCTATACATGTGACTTCAGGTGCCCTTGGAAGTCAGAAAAGTGGGAACCCTAGAGCTGGCATTACAGGCAGTTATGAGCTGCCTGACATGGGTACTAGGATCTTTACAAGAATGAGACCCATAAATCTCCAGACCCACGATTCCAAGTTTTTATGATTATTAATTCTAGTTACTCTCATTGAAAAAAGTTTCTCTAATTGTTATTTATGGAGAAAACAGAGAGAGAAAAAAGTCAGGAGATATGTGGGGCTGTAGTTCATGGACAGTGCTTGCCAAGCATGCATGAGGTTGAATCCCTAGTACTGTATAGGCTCACACACATAAAAATTAAAAAATAAATTCAGTTTATAGACCTGGAAGGCTTCAAATTAAAAATTCGGGTACTGAGAAAACTTACATTTAAATCAACTAAGATGTCAGCCTGAACTACATACTAAGACCCCGTTTCAAGAATAAAGCAGGGTGCTGGAACACCGGGTTCAGCATTTAAAAGCATTTGTTGCACAATCATGAGAACTGGAATTCCAATCTCAGAACTCGTATCAAGCAGGACATCCTGCAAACACCTGTTTAGATTCCAGAATCTAATTAATACCCACTTCTAGTCTCTACATGCGCACAAGTTCACTAATCCCCACATACATATATGTGCATATGCTCATGCAGAACAATACATACACACACACAAATCTTTAAAAAATTAAAACAAATAGGGGCTGGAAAGATGGCTCAGTGGTAAAGAGCACTTGCTGCTCTTCCAAAAGACCTAGGTTCAATTCTCAGCACCCACACAGCAGCTCATAATCATTTGTAACTCTAGTTCCAGGAGTTGCCCTCTTCTGACTATTGTAGGCATCAGGCACTCAAGAGTGCTTACACACATACAGGTAAAACAATCACACATATAAAACAGTGAATAAATAATATAATAATGCATAGCTATAATCCAGTACCTGGGAGGTAGAGGCAAGATCAGAAGTTCATGGTCATTCTCACTAACATGAGCCCCTCTCAAATAAATAGGATTATATTCTTTAAATTTTCTGTAAGAGGAAATCTCTGTGCTTTATTTCAGTGAGTTTATTGGGCTTACAGGGGCAGGGGTAAGGAGTTACAGGGGCAGGGGTAAGAGGTTACAGGGGCATGGGTAAGGGGTTACAGGTGTATGAATGATTCATATCACTTCAAAGTCTCACCACAGCATGAAGGACAACTTCCCCGTGGCTGCATAGATGGAGTACGCCTTCAGTTAACCTTTCAAACTACTCTAGCACCCCCTAGTTTGGGTTTTTCAATCAAGGTTTCCCTATATAGCTCAGTCTGGTCTTGAACTCAGGATTCTGTCTCTGCTTCCTGAATGGTGGGATAAACTGTCACGCCCAAGTATATTCTAGGGTTGGGGTTTTAAGGTCTCACTATTATTTCCAAAACTAAACTAACCTAGAACTCATTATGTAACCCAAGCTTGCCTTTAACTTTCCTCCTACCTCTAAAGTAATGCTGAGATTACAAGCATATACCACTATGCCCAGTTCTTATTCTAGTTTTGATGTTGGGCTTTTACCTTTCCACGTTTCACATTAAAAAAAAAAAACACACAACAACAAAAAGACCAAACTGTAGGTAAATGAGAGATGTATTTGGCACTAATTTTTGTCTTGCTACATCTGTTCCAAGACTCTTCTTAGCAAAGGGGAAAAAACTTTAAAATTTAAGCTCCTGCAATCCACTAATTAATCTAGACAGTGGCCCTAGGTCATTTGTCAAATCCCCTTAAAGCAGGATGAGAAGGCAGATACCTTGGGGTAAACAGACTTTATCCAAGGTCATGATGCAATCATATTTAAAAAAAAAAAAACACTCTACTGGCTGGGAAGATTGCACAGTAGGTAAAAGTGCTTATTGCACAAACATGAAGATCTAAATTAGATCCTCAGAACCCATATAAAATTGAACACATGGAGACATCATCTATAATTCCAGTGCTTCTATGGGAAGATGGCGAGGAGAGACAGAGATCCCAGAAGAATGAAGACTAGGTAGCCTGGCGCATGCACAGTGGAAAAACAAAGAAGCAAGGCCCAACGTTCAAGGTTATTCTATGGCCTCCACAAACATATGCTATGAAATGTGCACACCCTCATTTTCAAGAATGAATAAGAACATAGACACAGACAAAAACAACTCTAGACACCTTTAAAAGACCCAGGTTTAATTCCCAACACCCACACAGTGGTTCACAACCATCTGTATATCGCAGGGGATCCAACTCCCTCTTCTGTTCTCCTCAGGCAGACATTGCATCCACATGGTGCACAAACATACATTCAGGCAAACACTTATATACATAAATAAAACCTCAAAAAAAATTTTAAATAATCCCTTCCTTTTACATTAAAAAAAAAAAACCTTTACTTTTAAGAACAAATATACACCAGGCAGTGGTGGTGCACGCCTTTAATGCCAGCACTAGGGAGGCAGAGGCAGGCGGATCTTTGCGAGTTCTACAAGAGCTAGTTCCAGGACCGGTTCCAAAGCTACAGAAAAACCCTGTCTCAAAAAAAAACAAAAAAGGAACAAATATACACAACACACACACACAAGTCCTCAGTTTGATCAATTTTATCCCTATAAAGTATTGTTGGGGGGAAAGAGACAGAGATTAGCAGCTGGCCTTAAACTTTCACATCCTCTTATACCTCAGCCTTAAGTGCTGGGATTACAGACCTATAGCATCATCATGTCAGCATACAATCTAACTTTAAAATTAAAGATTTTTAAAGAATATGGTTTACAAGTGTGGTGATATACGCCTGTAACCCTAGCATTCTGGAGATCAAGGCAAAGTATTAAGTTTGAGACCAGCAACATCCATGGACTGAGGATACGTAGTGCTCAGTGATAGAGGATTTGCCTAACATGAGCAAGGTATTGCTTCCACCCTCAACACTGAAGGAGGAAAACTGTTACCATATGTTAACCAGCAATTTTTCTCAGAAATTGCAGCATCAACGCTGAAAGCTAAATTACTATTCTGCACAGAAAAGTTACCCTAAGAACCTAACTAGCCCATTAGACTCTTCAAATGGCACTTCCTTTTCTCTCCTGAGTACTCCCTCTCAAGTGTTGTCACACAAAATGGCCAGTGTGACCAGGAAGTCCCTTCCTAATTAGTAGAGATAATAACAGCAAATTCCAGCAATGAAACAAGGCAGACAGGAAATGCCCTCCACCCACTACCCACACACCTCTCCATGTGCTAAGAGTTGTCCTCAAAATAGTTAAGTTTCTTTATAAGCTCCAAAACCTGTAACAATATAACAAAAGCACTGGCTAAAACCCAGGAAATATACTCCCCACACTAGTGATCATCCCTCACTCTGAATTGGTCAAGTCTTCCCAGGAACTGTAGTAGGACAAACACCAGCTCAGAGGTTCTACGGTTTGGTCCTCATGCCAGGACTGTTGTTCCTTCTACTTTTATCTAAAAAAGTCAACTACAGGAACTATTTTCTATACTTGTGATGTTTTTTAAATAAGAAGTTAGGGGATAGTGAGATAGTCAATGGGTGAAAATACTTGCTGCACAAGCCTGACAGCCTGAGTTTGATCCCTGGGATCCATATAAAAGCCAGATGTGGTGGCATGCATCTGTAATCCCACCCCAGCACTCTTAAGCTTTCTAACTAGGCTACACCTGTCAGAAACAGCACCTGGCTCCAAAACAAAATAGAATGAGAAAACAACTCCTGCAAGTTGCCCTCTGACCTCTACAATAGCTCAGGAGCACATGTGCACCTGTTCACTCCCTTCCCCCACAAACACAAACAACACAGACACAAATAATAGAAGTTTAAAAATTAATTTATACACTGGTAGTTATGACTATATCAGAATAGTAGTTTTTATGGGGGATCTTAAATGATTTTTAAATTTTTGTGTGTTGGCCGGGCACACCTTTAATCCCAGCACTTGGGAGGCAGAGGCAGGTGGGTCTTTGTGAGTTCAAGGCCAGCCTGGTCTATGAGAGCTAGTTTCAGGACAGGCTCCAAAGATACAGAGAAACCCTGTCTCAAAAAAAACACACACACACACAAAAAAAAGTTTTTTGTGTTGGAGAGTATGTGTGCACATGCGCGAATATATACAACTATGTGTGCTAGTACGCGCATCTGTATAAGAAAGGCATCAAGTACAGTCCTATCTCTGCCTTACTCCTTATGAGCATAGTCTCTCAGAGGCTGGACCTTACATTTCTGCGCTAGGTTGGAAGTCAGGGAAGTCCAGGAACCCTATCTTCTCACTGCTCAATGCTGGGATTACAAGAGAATGTGGGGTATACCTGATTTGTTATGTGGGTATTCTACTGAAACTCCAGTCTTCATGCCTACACAGTAAATAGCTTTTAATCATAAAACCATCTCTTCATCCCTCACATGAATTTTTTATTTTAAGATTTATGTGTTTGCTTGCATGTATACATGCACATTATGTGTGTCTGTGCCTGTAGAGATCAGAAGGCAGCATCAGATCCTGTAGAACTAGATTTGCGGATGGTTGTGAGCCACCATGTGGGTGTTGGAAATCAAACCTGGGTCTCTCTGTAGATCAACAAGTGCTCTTAATCCATCTCTCGAGCCTTTTGTTTTTAGACAGGATCTTACTATGTAGCCCTGGCTGGCCAGAGCTGTTATGTAAACAGGATGGCCTGAGATCTGCCTACCTCTGCCTCCTGAGTGCTGGGATTAAAGGTGTGCACCACACTAAGTCCTGACTTATTTCTCTCCATAAATTTTAACGTGGACCAATTAAGACAGCAATGAACCATGGTTTAGCAGCTAAGAGTACTTGCTGGTCCTGCAAAGGGCCCAGGTTTGGTTCCTGCACCTATATGCCAGGGCACAACCCTTTACAACACCAATTCCAGAGGATCTGATACCCTCTTCTGGCCTCTATGGACAACAAGCATGCCCATGGTCCCAAAATAAAACACAGAACACAAAATACAGAACACAAAATAAAAAATATGAAACAAAAAGATGAGATAGCTATAAAATAATCCCATGATTTACTGCACATAAACCATACAATTATACAGAATACACATTAAACCCTCTAAAAGTTCCATTTTTGGCCAATTTCTGCCAATTTTTCATATACTCCAAACATCCTTGACTTTTTAAATAAGCAAGTAAGTTCATGTGTTTGATCCCAGATTTCACGAGACCCAAACTTCTACAAACTGTCTTCTGACCTCCATACATGCACCACAGAATATCATGCATGCATGTGTACAAATGTATACACACACACAAATGGAGTTGGAAGTTATGGCACATGCTTTTAATCCAAGCACTCAGGAGGTAGAAGCAGAGCTACAGTGTGACACCACCCCCCCCCCCTCTCTCTCACACACACACACACACATACACACGGACTGGAATTGACATAAATAAGCTCTGTTGTCATTAACATTTTTCTGCCTTACAAAAAAGTGTGCATTTTAACTTCCTCATTCTCCAAGAGTGAAATTAAATTAACAAATCCTCTCAAAGATGCTTATTGCATTACAACAGTCTTACACTTCTTGGCTATAAATATGTAGATGAAGGGTTTAAACAAACAACCAAAGGAAGTTAAAAGTGAAAAATAGCCTTTACTGTGCTGTCCAGGGTTTGATTTAAATGTCTGACTTTGGTCACTGTCAAAAAGAACTTTGTGGAGTCTGCCTAACTACAGACATGTTAGATATTTGAAAGCAAGAAAGTTACTAAAGCTATCAAATGCATTTCTATCAAATTTGGGAAATTAAAAATATATTTACTGAGCAGCCAGCTTTTGTTAATTTGTTAAGCATGTTAATATTAACATCCCTAAAATTACTTATTCACTTGAAATGTTACAAAACAAAAATGACATTTGTACTTAAGTACTTAAGAAATTAATACCTGCATTTTAAAAAGTAAAATTCATTTTATTTTTTAAATATCACTTCTGAAAATAAGCTTGATAACTTATGAATTAAGGTTTATTACTGTCTTTATTTAAATGAGGCTTGCAGAATCTCGACTCATCATTATCACATTTACCTTACATTTTCACAAATTTTTTCCAACTTTTATGCACTCATACAAAATATAAACATTCTAAGTTTTCACGAACCAAGCAGTTTAAGACCCTCACTAAAAAAAAAAAAAAAAACATGTACAAACCAAAGCTAAGTACCATTAATTAAAGATAAAACAGAGCTAAGAACAAAATGAAAGTTATGGTTTTTTAATTCTTCCCCTTACGTACTAAAAGTATACCACAATCTCCAAATACCTTCAATTTAGCCACTAGATTTCCAGAAACTCAACAGAAATCGTCTAGAGACAGGCATTATAAAGCTACCACTATGGAAAAGATTTCCTGTTTCTTAAAGGTTTATTTTGTTGCCATATTTCAACTACATGAAACCACTTGTTCTCAGCTTTCCTACCACAAAACATTCCCCAAACAAAGACTGTTTACATCTCTTAAGAAGCCTTTGTTCCAGGACCCCTCTGTTCAAGAGCTACAACTTCTGGATCTTCTCTCTGGTGGTTCTATCAACAGCAAATGCTGGCCAACTCTTCTACATTGGCACAGGAGTTTGTTAAACAAAGGAGGAGCAAGTCCCCTGCACACAAAGGAGGGCTCCAAATAGCACTAGTTGTGTCTGTAGATCATTTCTCCTCTTTACCCCTCTCCTCTCAGGCTCTACTACACAGTACTCAATACAAAATGGTGGCTATCATGTGTGACATTCAGAATGGGAAAAAGCAAAACAAACGCACAAATCCTAAAGATTGCCATTAATCTGCTAACCCAGATGAGAAATGGGTAGCCAGACCTAAGCAGAGCAACACTATTTTTCGAAGACAACAGCTCTATGAAGGCAAAGAAGGCAAGAGAAAGGACTTACCCAGCCCTGAATGCCACAATGCCAACATGGAGGACAGCTCACAGGAACCTAACTCCTCTTACATTTTGGTTTCTAATAAGTTAGTCAAGTTTGCTAATGTCTGGATAAGATCCTATCAATGAAAACGTCCAATGTTCACATTCATCTTTCCTGACACATTAACAGGAAGGTACATCGCTCAATGTTTAGAGAAAGCGTGGTCTTTTCTTCCAAATTAAAACCTTAGTGATAACCAGCCCAGGGTGTAACTTCTGCAGGCCTCTACAGTAAAAGAAATGTACCTTCCCTTAAGAAACAATACTCGCCCCTGTCCACTTTCACCAGGAGAAATGAATCTATTTCCAATCATTTCCTCCACACTAGCTGACCTGGCCAGTTCTTTTCTGAGGCATCTATTTCATTTCTGTTTGAAAAGTTGTCCAAGAGAAACTAAAATATGGTGTCTGTGGTTTAATTTTTTTTTTTATCTGGTGGGGGGTGATGGAAAGATAAGGCTTTAGAACAGAATGATTACGCACATAATCCCGCAATTAAAAATACCATTACAAAGAGCAAGTTTAAAGAAGAAAGAGGTAAAGGGGGGGGGGTCCTTCCTCCACTTGTGTGCGAGCAGTGGAGATAGAAAATTCTTAAAACGGTAGGCAAGGCAGTTAAACCTCTCCAACCGTCCCGGCCGGTCCAACGGTCGTTTAGGCCAACTCAGACTCGGGCCATCCCAAAAGGTAGGCGAAAAACCTGGGGTGTCGCAGCGCATCCAGTTCCGGCTGCGGGGGGGGGGGGGACAGGGAAGGAGTGGGCCGGGCTCTTGGCGGACGTTGCAGCCGTTAGGGCTGGCTTCGGGGGACACCCCACCCCTCACAGCCCCCCCAAGCTCGAGGCGCCAGAGCCCCCGCTGCTGGGCCGAGTAAGGGAGGCTGGGGACCTCGTCTGACATCTCTCCTACAAACATGGCCCGTCTGGCCCTCAGCCCCAGCCAGGCCTCCCCGGGGAGCAGCGCCGTCCGGCCCCGGGGAGCGCCCACCAGGGCGGGCGGGCGAGCATAGGGGCACCGCTGTCCCGCCCCACAGTGCCCGAAGTGCCCCCCCATGACACTTGTGCCCCCAGCCACCAAGTCGCTCCAGGCCGGACCAGCGGCTCCTCCCCTCCCCCAGTGGCGCGGGCCGCCCCCTGCCCCGGCCCGGCCCGGGGACTCCGGGAGGCCGAGGGACCAGGTGGTGGTGGGGGACCCGGGTCCGGAGGGTGGGGCGCTCAGGTGAGGGCAGCTCCCGGCCGACGCCGCCACCACACAAAGGACCAGGGGCTCCCGCCGCCATATTGAAAACTTTCCTCCTCACACGACAACTCGCAAGTCCCCCACCCCCACCCATCACACACCCCCGCACCCCGGGGAGGAGGCGAGGACCAGCCACCGAGCCGTGCGGGCCCAGAGCCCTGCCTCCACGTCCGCGCCTCAGCCGGGCTCGAGGGGACTCCCCGGTGGCCAGCCCGGCGGCTGCCACCACTCCAGCCCGCACCGCTGCCCGGCCGTGCGGCGCACCGGCCCCCGGAGCCGCACCGACCCGGTCCTCGGGCCGCGCTGCCAGAGCCCGCTGTGCTCACAGCCCGCATCCCACCCGGACGAGCCCCCGCGCCTTCTTCCCGCCGCCACAACTCCCACCCACTGAGGGACCCCAAACTTGACCGGGCCCCGCCGGGACGACCGCTCCCCGCTCCCCGCCCCCGCGCCTCGGGCCTCCCCGGCCGCGCGTCCTCGCACCCTCCCCCAGCCGCGAGCAGGATCCGGGGTGCTGGCTGACTCACCGGCGGCGGCCGCACCTTACAGATCCCAGTCTGCTCGGCTATGGGCCGGATCTTGTGGATGAAAGCGAAGGGGTCGGCGAACTCTTCCCAGCTGGGCTCGAAGACCGGACACTCGGGGGGAGGCAGGAACTCGCCCAGCGGGCCCGGGCCCCCGAGGGGTAGCGCCGGACGCGGGCCTGGGGGCAGCACGGTGGCCGGCTCCATCACTGCGACGTCGGTAGGGGCGAGCACGGGGCAGGCTCCGCGACCGCGGGAGCAAGCTCCGTTCCGTCCGAGACCTGTGGTGACGCGCAGCTCCGGAGACAAGTCCGACTTCTACTAGCAACGGCAGCACCTAGGGCTTTTTCAGCCTTCCTCCGACGACGTCTTGCCGCTACACCACGCCGTGCGCCTCCGCCGCCACGGCAAGGAAAAAAAGTCCCTACTGCCACCCGGAGCCAGGTCCCACCCCGCCCCCTAACCAGGAGGGGCTGGGCCCTTCCGCCTGGGATGGGTTTTAGCCTTTATGGTTCGTTGACCACTGAAGTTTTCAGAATTCTTGCTCTCAAGAAGTTAGCGATCTTGTAGAGAGATCAGATCTATAATTGATCATTCAATCATGCCATACACTTTTTGCCACCAAAGATTTACATAGTAAAAACTGGAGGAGGATTCTCTAGGTAAAGAAGACAGCTTGAACACAAGAGCAGCAAGGACAGACACAAACAATAGTAATAAGGATAGTAAAAACACTTTGAGCCGGGCGGTAGTGGCGCACGCCTTTAATCCCAGCACTTGGGAGGCAGAGGCAGGTGGATCTTTGTGAGTTCGAGACCAGCCTGGACTACAAGAGCTAGTTCCAGGACAGGCTCCAAAACCACAGAGAAACCCTGTCTCGAAAAAAAAAAAAAAAAACCCCTTGAACATTTGCTTATCCTAGATACTGTAGATACTGTGTTAAGTGCTTTGCGCATTTGTTTAACGTGTGAGGTAGCTTAAGCATGTGCCAAAATCCAACAGTTCAAACTATTTATCGGAGGTGTCGCACAGAAATCGTTTACAGCCTTATGACAAGATTGATCCTGAGCAAAGCCTTTAATCCCAGCACTCAGGAGGAAGAAGCAGACAGATCTCAGTGAGTTCGAGGCCAGCCTTCATACAATATATATCTTCATACAAGAGCTACAAGAGCTAGTTCCAGGACAGGCACCAAAACTACAGTGAAACCTTGTCTCGAAAAAAAAAAATCTTGAAATAATCCAGTCAAGGAATAATGGGGCCTAAAAATCTGCAGCTCTACTGACTGAAAAGAAAGGATGAGCCTGGTAGCACACACCTTTAATCCCAGCATTTGGAAGGCAAAGGCGGATCTCTGTGAGTTCAAGACCAGCCTGGTCTACAGATAGAGTTCCAGGACAGCCATGACTACACAGAGAAACCCTGTCTGGAAAAACCAAAAAGAAAAAAAAAGGAAAGAAAGGGAAAGAAATAAAGGATGAAACTGCAGGAAATAAAAATTAGACTAGGAAGGAATCACAGGATGCCATACTAAGGGTCTGGTACACCTGCCTCAGTAGATACTGGCCAATTGGCATTGCTGGACAGTCATCCAGATCACCCCCTGCACAAACCACTCTAGAGAAAATGTATTCGCACCACAACAGGTTGAGTTTGAGATGTGTCCTGTATGCAGAGAGAGAGCAGGGTTCCCACAAGCCAAAAGGTACAGCGAGCTCTGGAGGAAAGGGGGTCAGTACTGAGGATTGAGCCCAGTGTTTCAAAGTGAGCCATGGAAGTCAAAAGAAGATCCTAAGTAGAACTCGAGCCCTGAAATGATTTCTTTGTTCCAGAAAGCAGCCAAACTCATGGAAGAACTATCACAGCCTCCAGCCCTCCCTTCAGAACAACCTCTGAAGGATATCTCTCTTAGCCTCAGGGTTTAGTTTTTACTAACACTCCTGTAGTCCGGGCTGGCCTGAAACTCTATGTAGCAGAGGATGACTTTGGTCTCCTGATCTTCCTGCCTCTACAGGTGCTGGGTTACAGATGTATCCTGTCACACACAGGCTATGCTTCCTCAGTTTAAAACAGAAAAGCTAGAAGTGATAGCACACACTTTAATCCCAGCACTTGGGAGGCTAAAGCCAGCCTGCCCTACACTGAGTTCCCGGCCAGCCAGATCTACATAATGAGAACTTGCATCAAAAAACAAGGAAGCTGGAGGGATGGCTCAGTGGGTTAAGGACATTTTGGTCCTGCCCAAGAGGACATAAATTCAGTTTCCAGATCCAGTGTCCATCAGCTCACAATTGCCTCTTCGACTTCAAGGGGTCTGATGCCTTCTTTTGGCCTCTACAGCCAACACACATGCAATTTAAAGAGAATTTTAAAATATAGAAAATATCTAGACAGTGGTGACACACACCTTTAATCCCAGCATTAGGGAGGCTGAGGCAGGTGGATCTCTGTGAGTTCAAGGCCAGCCTGGTCTACAGAGGGAGTTCCAAGACTGCCAAGACTACACAAGAGAAACCTGTCTCAAAAAATATATTTATATATATATAACATTTTAAGTTGAAGAGGGAAAAAGTCTCATTTTTCAATAAACCTCCCAGAGGTCCACAGTCTCCAAAATAGTTAGTTCAGGATTCCTGGAGAAAGCGACCTCTCCATAACTCCCTAGGGCTTCGGAGTCTGACTTGACCTTTTCTTGCTCCCTCATTCTGTAAATAAGATGGAACCCAAAGAGACAGTTAACCTACTCAAGAAAAAAAAATATGTCTTCATTGTAAGATAAGGTGATACAGAAGGTTACAAAATTGTGGGGAAACCTAGATATAAGAATTTGCCTTTTTTTTTTTTTTGTCAAGATTTTACTAAGTATCTCTGATTAGCCTAAAACTCACGTAGATCAGGCTGACTTTGAGTTCAGATGTGCAAGGATTAAAGGCATGGGTCACCTCACCCAGTTTGCCATATTTTTTACCCTGATTTTTTTTCCTGCTAGTGTATTGAGGAGAGGAACAATTAAGACAGGATTGCATACTGATAGCCAAAGCTGGCCTGGAATTCACAATGTAGCCCAGGTTGACCCCGTTCCCAAGGACTGGGGTGTCAGATGACACATGTTGACTGAAGGAAATCTTTTATTGTCGTTCTTGACCCAGGGTATTTATTATATGTGTGCCTGTGTTTGAGGTTCCTCCTGGAGTTGATTTCCTGTCCAGTTCTCTGCCTTGGGAGAACGCAGTACCTTTGACGTTGGCATCCTACAAATTAGGTAGGTTGTGAGGCTTCTAGACGTACATGAATTATGGGTATGCAACTGGAGGGCACGAGTTTAGGAAAAAAATCTCACTTGTCATCTATGAGTTACATCTCTCTCCCAACTTTCAAGGTCTGCTAATCCTACTTCCTCCATTTCCGGCAGTGACCCTAAATGATGAGATCCTACTGCTCAGATCAAGCAGCAACTGTTTGGCTCGGCACCGACCCAAACAGACGCCGAGGGAGCGGGCGGCTGCCAAGCTAGTAAAGAGAACCCTAGGGACTGAGAAGGATCTCTACTAAGGTACCAGCTCCCCCGCCCCATCGAAGACGCTTCCCCTTGCCCTTTATGATGTGTGTTTACATGGGCGGAGGGATCCCTCTCCAGCTGACAGCCACACCGCGGCCGGCTCTTCTTTTTTTAAAGAGCCTTGCCACAGGCGGTGATTGGCCACGGCCCGAGCCGCATCAGCCTCCGGGGGCGGGGCCCGCTCCGCATTGTCTAGTGTGGGGCCGGCTGGACGTCTCAGAGGCCGGCCCTGGCTAACCCCGGCCTGGAGGTGCCGGCTCTCCGCTTCCCAGACGGCTGGGAGCGAGGGCTGGGCGGAGCCGCAGTGCCAGGTTCCCGTGGGGAAAGCGGGGCTTGCAGTCCCGGCGGCCCGAGGAGAACCGAGCCCGCTCCGAGTGCCACGTCTCCAGGAACCCCCCTCCTTACTCTTGGACAGCACTCCGCCTCCGCCCCGGACTCCGTCCCCCAAAGCACCCCATGAGTGCTGGAGAGCCTTTAGATACATCTTTAGGGATCGATGTCTTCATCCGGCCCACTCAGCCGTCAGCCCTCACGCTCCTCCAGCGGGTTGAGTCCCACCCCCGGCCTGCACCCCAAGAGTTCAGCCTGTGCCCTAAATTCGCTTGCTGGCCTAAGGGGCGCTGGCCTTGCTCCTTCCGGCCGCCGGGCAGGAGAGGCCAGGCTTCGGGGTTCCAAACGCGAGGAGAGACTTTCCTCTCGCTCTCCGTCGCCCCCACCCCCACCCCTTGCTTGGGGTCTGAGCCACGGATGAGGGGGGCAGGCCTGCCTCCCCAGCTGCCCGGGAGGGGGCGGCAGCCGGCTCAGCACGTAGCGCACGTGTCGGTCCAGCTCCCCACCCCCTCCGCGCGGCTGTCCCCTCGACGGGGCTCTGGTGTTGTCCCTGCGCCTCCCTTCCGTCCCGTCCTCGGTTCGGTCTACCACCACCCCGCCCCTCTCTCCCGTTTTTCCAAATTTCCGCGATGTGCACCATCTCGGTTTCTCTTCTCCAGTTCAGTGCCAACATCTGAACTCAGCACCTTCTTTCGTGCTCTGAAAAATTAGGTGTCAGGCGTCCCCTCTGCGTTAACTTGTTTTGTGTCTTTCCACAACGTCTTGTTGCTACTCTTTATTGCTTGTTTCTAGCTTGACATCAGTTTCCCACAGTAGTCCCGGCTGCCTCCTCAGCACGTTGCCCCACCCCTTGATAAGTCGCTTGAGGGAAGGGGAAAAGTCAGTTCCAGGCACGTGGGAGTTGCTCCACAAATATTTGTTGAAAAGGGGGACGGGGGTGGCCTTGAGTTTATGCGGCTCCAATTGGCTGAGGAGGAAGCTTTGGGCTGGACGCGGAGAAGAATTTGCTTATGCACGGGAAGGAGTCCGGTGGTGGAGTCTTGAGACAGCCCACGCAGTGGACGAATAAAATGAGATTAAAGCGTCCTCCCCCTCCCCTGGCCTGCTTAATTCCACTGTGCTCGGTGTCCCTCCTCCTCAGCTGCAAGGCCTCCCTGTGGGATAGCTGTACTCTTTGGGTCCCCACCCCCAGCTGACACCATGATAAAGGGTCTGATTATGGGCTCGGTCCTTGAACAGTTGGTCTGGTCTTGGGGAGGCATCTTTTAACTGGATACCACTGCCTCGTCCTGCACATTTTTTATGCACGCGCGCGCGGACACACACACACACACACACACACACACACACACACACACACGGGAGGGGAAGATCTCTCCTAGACAAGCACTACACCAGAGCAACTGTCCCAAACCCTCACCACCCTTGGAATCTGCTGAATCAGCTCGACTGGGATCCAAAAGCTTACACCTTCGGTTTACCTGGGTGTGAGGCCCAAAGAACTAGACCCTTACGTGGATCTCAAGAGGAACGTTCCCACGATGGTGCTAGCCCTACCCACAGGGGCTGGGAGGGGCAGAGTAACCCACACCAAGGCTTGGGCTTCAGGGCGTTTCTTCCCATTCCGGTTAGGCCACTTTAGAGAGGCCTGAGACTCTCAAGGAACAATAATATTTTTTAAGATTTATTTATTCATTATATATACAGTGGTCTGCCTGCATTTATGCTTGTACTCCAGAAGAGGGTACCAGATCTTACTACAGGTGGTTAGGAGCCACCATGTGGTTGCTGGGAATTGAACTCAGGACCTCTGGAAGAGCAGCCAGTGCTCTTTATCACTGAGCCATCTTCCCAGCCCCATATTTAATAATTTTATATTTAGTTTCTGAGTCAGGGTCTTGCTATGCAACTCAGAATGGCCTCAAATTCACAATATAACCCAGACTGACCTCAAACTCAGTCTCCCTTAGTTCTAGGCCAAGGAAGACTCTTATGCTCCTGGAGGACGAGAGAAAGCCATAGTCCCTGTTCCTCCCCAAGCACTCTAACTCAGGTCTCTGGGCTGAGGAACTCCATTAGCACGTCATGTTCCTCAGATAGCACAAATGTTTGGAATTCTCTATCTGGGATGTAACGTGCTGGAACTTTCCAGAGCACCACTACATCTACCATATCTGTTTGAAATTCCTGATCCAACTAAATCACACTATGTGTCGAGCATAGCACAACTTCCTAAGTGCAAAAGGAGGCTTTTCCACACTTTTCTTCCCTGGTATGAGCAACTGATGTATAAAAGAAAAAACAAAACAAATCAGGGTCACTAGCCAGGAGTGGTTCATAGCCTACTAGACACACCAGCTCTGTGAAGGAGGTGGTATTGCTGGCATATTTCTCAGAGGACCTGAGACTCAGATTAATGAGCCAAGATCACACTGATAACAACTGCAGAGCAAGGATGAGGATGGCAGTCTTAGTGCCTGGCCGCCTTTGATCTTCCCCAAACACCAGGCTGAGCTCTGGAAGCTGCAATCAGACATAGGGGCCTTACCTCATATCTCCCACCAGTTGCGCCTTTCCCTTCTGTCTGGGTCCCACAACTGCCTTGTCAGCGGCAGTGACTTCAAACTTTGACAGTTTGCTCCAGTGTTTTTTTTTTTTTCTTACAGAGTTACCAAAAGTTTCACAACATATGATGGTTGAGCCTTATGAAGTTGATTTTCGTGACCCATAATGGATTGTGATTTACAAAGACTGCGCTAAGGCTAGTCTCTGTTTTTCTACTGTTTGACAGCTTTCAAAAAGATTACCCAGGTACGTAAGGGAGAGCAGGTGCAGATGCTGGAAGGCCACCAGCCACAAGCCTGGATAAGACCGTGGGGAAAGGCCTCCTAGCATCTTGACCTTGGACTTGTAGCTTCCAGAATTGTGAATAATGTAAATTGTTTAAACCAATTCCCTAAAATCGGTCTCCCTCTTGATATATGTATATTATATATCCATGTGATATAAATATATGTGTATTTATCCAGCCATATATCCTATTGGTTTTCTTTCTCTGGAGAACACTTAGGAATTGCCAATAGCAAGTCTTCCTCAAATACCTAACGTATCTTTAATTTGGGCCACTGCCCCTTGCTCCCCCATGTCTCCTCTCTGTCCCCAAGAACACTGTCTACATGATGTAGAAAACACAAATACTCCTATCTTGGCTCATCTGCTTGTTTTTTGCTGTTGATTTACTCAGTCGTCTGCCTTCATCTACTCATTTTCCTTCTGCGTTTGTCCACAGCCCGTCAAACCTAGGATCCTCTCTGTGTTCCGTCTTTAACAACTTATATAAAATAAGTGCCAGCAATGTCCAGGATGTGTCTGTAAGTTCTTAGATTTTTGTTTTGTTTGGGACTGCTGAGACAAGCTGTCCTGGTACCCTGGGCTGGCCTTGGATTCAATACATACTCAAGGATAGCCCTTAATTGTTAGTCCTCTTGCCTCTACCTCCCAAGTGCTAGAATTACAGACCTGTACCACCTCCCTAGTTTTTGTTTCTTTTGCTTGGATTCATCCTTTTATCCAGGGACTTACTATATAGCCCTGGCTGACCTGGAATTCCCAGTGTAGATAAAGTCAGCCTTGAACTCAGAGAGCTCTACCTACCTCTACCTAGGATTAAATTTAGCCCAGCTAACTTGAGCTCTCCCATTTTTTTAAGTATTCAGACTCAATTCATTTTTTCAAACACTGTGATCAGATGGTCCCCTGGGTGGCACACCAGCCCTCTCCATCCCCCAGATGAAATCAGTGGGCTGATAAATTCCCGTGGTCCTTGACGAAACACTGATTGTCAAGGGTGCATGGGCTGAAGCACCTGGGAGGAAGTAGAGAAAGAGGGCATGTTCCTCGCCATCCCTAACCTGCAGACATGGTTCACCCGCCCAGGCCTAGAGTAGAATTCTGATTTCAGCCCAATTCAAATACTTACCCAGGACATAACGTACCAACAAGCTTTGTGGGGCAGATAGAGAGAATTAGAGCCGCTGGAACTGCAGCGACAGAAGGTCATGGGCTGCCCAAAGTGTAAGAGGTCTAAGGGCAACCTGAGCTACTGAGTAAAGTGAAATCCAGCACGGACTGCATGAGATCCCATCTTAAACAACAAAAGAGCCTGTAGGCGCTTGAGAGTCGTCTTCTGTCGTCTTCAGTTGATAGAGGAGGAGCTCGGCTTCAGAAACACTGAGTCATTTGGCCAAGGTCACACGAACAAGTTGAACAGAAGCAAATTCTAGCCTAGTTTGTCTGAGCCCATGATCTGTGTTTTAACCCTCCTGTACCTATAGCCCTTCTCTGGCCTAATGACACTACTATGCCCTTAGCATCTACCATAGGGTTTCCTGGTGAACTTTTGTCAACTATCACGGTTCTCCCATAACCCATGAGCTAGTAAAGACTTGTAGAGCATCGTTCTTAGGGCCAGGTACTCTGCGAAATGTTGGAGATATAGTACCAAATAAAACAAAGTGGCTGGCCTTCTGAAGTTTATAATTCTAGGCTAGCAGACAGTCACAGACAGTAAACACAACCAAGATGGTTTCTGGTAGCAAAATGCTCAGGAAAATATAACAGATTATCCAGTATGTAGGTGGAAGGATGGAAATGGTGGCATGAGGCTTTCCAACCATCAAAGAGAACATCTGAGCTTGGAGTTCAGTTACAGGGAAGGGGCAGCTATGGCGTAAATCTACAGAGAAGTGTTCTAAAAGAATGACACGTGCAGGGCTGGAGAGATGGCTCCGTGGTTAAGAGCACTGATTGCAGGTTCAATTCCCAGCACCCACATGGCAGCTCACAGCTGTCTGTAGTTCAAGTTCCAGGGGATCTGATGACCTCATACAGACAGACGTACAGGCAGGCAAAACACCAATGCACACGAAATAAAAATAAGTATTAGATTTAAAAAAAAAGGAACAGCATGTGCAAAGACCCTGACTCAAGAGTCCAGTATGGGGGCTGGAGTGATGGCTCAGTGGTTAAGAGCACTGGTTGCTCTTCCAGAGGTCCTGAGTTCAATTCCCAGCAACCATATGGTGGCTCACAGCCATCTGTAATGAGAATCTGGTGTCCTCTTCTGCTGTGTGGGCATACATGCAGGCAGAATGTTGTATACATAATAAATCTTTAAAAAAAAAAAGTCCAGTATGCCTTACAGGACCTCCTCCAAGAAAACAAGCCTCTATAGAACTCTAGAGAGAAATTTTACAAGTAGGCCATAATCAGGAGTTGAAACTTCTTATTTGCAGTGAGAGGCCACCAGAGGATGGCAAGCAGAAGAGGTATCTCACTTGATTTAGAATTTTTATTTTAATAATAATTTTAATTAATGTATTTAATTAATAATTTTGTTTGTTTATTTATGTTATTTTTTTGAGACAAATTTTCACTGTGTAGCACTGGCTGTCCTGGAACTCACTCTGTGGACCAAGCTGGCCCTGAACTCACAGAGATCCATCTGCCTCTGTTTCCCAAGTGCTGGAATTAAAGGTGTGCATGGTTAAACGCCTGCTTCTTCCTTCTTTTCTTTTTGTCTTTTTTGACAGGATTTTTTTATGTGCCCATGGTGGATCCTAACTCACATGCTCCCATCTTAGACTCCTGAGTGCTGGGGTCACAGATACATGCCACCTTACTAGATTTATATTGATAATTTTAATTTTTTNTAATGTCTTGTGTGGGTCTCTAGGAAGGCGTGCTAACGGGGGTTGGTATAGTGAGGAAGCTTGCTTATTTTAAAGCCCTTTTTTCTTTCCTTTTTCTTAGGCCTGGAATTTGAATGCAGTATCTTTAGCCTCCTTAGTCACCTTGCACTGTAAGTATAGAAGCCATGCACTAAGGAAGGTAGGTCTGAGTTTAGAAGATTTTTTCATCCTGTCGCTTTCATATCAGTCAGGGAGTTCCTTCAGATAGCTCCCTGGGAGAGAATAAATTTTTTTTTTTTTTTTTTTTTGTTTTTCGAGACAGGGTTTCTCTGTGGCTTTGGAGCCTGTCCTGGAACTAGCTCTTGTAGACCAGGCTGGTCTCGAACTCACAGAGGTCTGCCTGCCTCTGCCTCCCGAGTGCTTGGATTAAAGGCGTGCGCCACCATTGCCCGGCTAATTATTTAAAAGTATGTTACGTATATGAGTTTTCTGCTTACATGTTTGTATGTATGTATGCCGCATGCATCTCTGATGCTTGTGGAGGTCAGAGAAGAGCATCAGATCCCCTGGGACTGGAGTTTCAGACTGTTGTGAGCCACCATGTAGATTCTCTGACTCAGACCTGGGTTCTCTGGAGACCAGCAAGTGATCTTAACTATGGAGCCCTCTCTCCAGACCACTGATTTCTAATTTCTGATTTGGGGCGGTGGTTGTTTTGTTTGTTTGGGTTTTTTTGTTTGTTTGTTTGCTTGCTTGCTTGCATTTTGCTTTGATTTGTTTTGAGATAAGGTCTCACTGTGTACCCCTGATTGTCCTGGAACTCCGTCTGTTGACCAGGCTGGCATCAAACTCATAGAGATTCACCTTCCTCTGCCTCCCGAGTGATGGGATTAAAGGCGTGCATCACCACACCCAATTTGGTTTGTAATTTTAAAAGGTGTCTTCAGGGTTGGGTGGTGGCACCTATACAGGCTTTTAAACCCAGCACTTGGAGGCAGAGGCAGGGGAATCTCTTTTGAGTTCAAGGCCAGCCTGGCCTACAAAGCAAGTTCCTCGACTGCCAGGGCTACACAGAGAAACCTTGTCTCAAAAAAGTGGGATGGTGGTAGCAAAGGCCTTTAATCCCAGCACTCAGGAAGCAGAAGTAGGAGGATCTCTGTTACGCAGAGAAACCCTGTCTCAAAAAAACCCAGATAGATAGATAGATAGATAGATAGATAGATAGATAGATAGATAGATAGATAGATAGATAAAATATAAAGGTGACTAGGGATTAGAGGATGGACTGCAGGAGAACAGGGTGCAGGTTTGGGACTGTACAGGCCAGACCGACAACTACTAATTGCAGTCCTAACTGACCTTCAAAAGGGGTCATATTCTAGGTAAAAACAGATTGTAGTACAGAGAAGACAAAGGCATCCAGAAGACCACTGTATCCCCTTCCCCCCAGCAGTTTATGTAAAAGGTGATGGTATAGTTTGCTGTGATGGAGAGAATGTGAGGAAATGGTAGAATAGAGAGCTCTGGTTTTGTATTTTGTTTCTGGTGTTGAAATGATTCTTATTCATCCGAGTAGAGACTTTAAACAGGTGACCTGGAGCTCGGGTGGGTGTATTTTACAAGCAAACACACACACACACACAGAGGGCTGGGGTTAACCAAAGAGAATGTGGAGGAGAGAAAGCTTTGAGCCCATGTGCATTGTTGAATGCATAAGTCAAGGGAGAAAGCTGAGCAGGAATGGTCAGTGGGGAAGCTGTCAGGATGACAGGAACTCCAGTACGGTGAGAAAGAACACAAGGTGGTCTAAGGCCCACACTCTCAAAGACTTGCTGTGGAGCACTTCAGAGAAGCGGGACAGAACTCGACACATGAGTTCAAGGGAGGGACTTTCTTTTTTGACTCTCCTTCCACAGGAAGAAAACAGGCCTGCTTTTCTGCAAGTAGAGAAGGAGAAGTGTCATGCAAAAGAGACAGGGTGACACGCAGGGGGCAAGACCAGGCTGTGAGAGGGAGTGGGAGGCCAGGGACATGATGAGTCCAGGAGAGACTGGACAGAGTTGCAGGGAAGCAGTATGGGATGGGCGGGCTTGGTGGTTCTCTACAGCTATACAGCTATTCCCTTTGTTACAAGATGCAAAATAGACCAGGCAGTGGTGGCGCGCGCCTTTAATACCAGCACTCGGGAGGCAGAGGCAGGCAGATCTCTGTGAGTTCGAGGCCAGCCTGGTCTATAAGAGCTAGTTCCAGGACAGGCTCCAAAACCACAGAGAAACCCTGTCTCGAAAAACCAAAATAATAATAATAATAATAATAATAATAATAATAATAATAATAATAATAATAACAATAATTACTTGGGGGCTGGAGAGATGGCTCAGTGGTTAAGAGCACTGACTGTTTTCCCAGATGACTGAGGTTCAATTCCCAGCACAGCAGCCCAAAACTGTAACTCCAGTTCCAGGGAATCTGACACCTTCATACCAAATACACATAAAATAAAGCTAAATAAATACTTTAAAAAATAATAATTACTAGAAAGGCATTATGAAGCACACACTCATCACATGTAAGTGTGTGCTCCTCTGATGCTATGCAGGGTGCTGGAGACACAATAGTCACATCACAGAGGGAGCTGAGCTTAAGGGAGGACACCTCAGAGACCTCAGACCACTGTCCCTAACGGCTGGAGTGACAGCCCTCTGGTTCCTCTTAGTCTTTGTCCCGCCTCTTCCAGAAGACCGTTGACCTGAGAAGGCTGAACAAGAACAGTATCCCCCGCTGCCTAACAATGTCCCGGGAAGGGCAGCAGGGAACTGAGCTATGTCTGTTGTGGTGAAGCCTTTTAGCTGTAATCACTTAGCCTTTTCACTAAGCATACTTGTCCATGAGTTCATGGTCTAGAGAAGCCTGGACCATCTGGGTCTCTCACATGGAAATTCATACGTGAATCACCCATGTGACAAAAGTCTTAACAAAAACAGGTAAGAAAAAGTGTTATCTATAAAACTTTATTAGTAGTAGTAAGTATTGTTTTTTATAATTATTATAAAAAAAAAAAAACCTCAGGGGGTGGAGGGAGGGCTCAGCCCTCAAGAGCATGTGATGGCATTTGCAGAGAACCCCAGTGCAGTTCCTAGTACCCAGAGTAGGCAGCTCACACTCCAGTTCTAGGTGGATCCCAGCACCCTCTTCTGGCCTCCATGGGCACTGCACTTACATAAGCACAGATACAGACACACATAATTTTTAAAAAAGAAATTTGGGCTGGAGAGATGGCTCAGCTGCTAAAGGCCAAAAAAAAAAAAAAGAGTGAAAGAATAATAGTAATGAATTAACTATTCAATTAATTAAAAAAGTTAAACCCCACTAAGCTGGGAGACATCTCTAGGAATGAAAGAGACTGGAGAATATTGTGACCTCTGGGGCATAGAAATGACTTGGCCATGTTTCTTTTTTATTTTGTGTCCTGAGTATGCAGGACAATAACTGAGCTCAGGTGACAAGGCGTATGAAAACCTTTCTTCTGATAGTTTAGGATCAATCAGAAAAGGTACTCAAGAGGGCTGGTACTCACTTTTGAGCCTGAGCTGGCCTGTGTTCCAATAACTCCAAACTCACATAACTTACCCTGCGTTAACAGACTCCTGCTCTCGCTGAGGCCCATGGGTCCAAGTATATTTAAAAGTCTCTGATCTTAGAAGACAAGGAAAGTATCAATTTGTCATAGACTTTAACATCACATCAATTTCAGCTATGTTTACTTATTTGGTTTTTTTTTTTTTGGTTTGGGTTTTTTTTGTTTGTTTGTTTGTTTTGTTTTGTTTTGTTTTTGAGACAGGGTTTCTCTGTAGCTTTGGAGCCTGTCCTGGCACTAGCTCTCAGACCAGGCTCGCCTCGAACTCACAGAGATCCGCCTGCCTCTGCCTCCCGAGTGCTGGGATTAAAGGCATGCACCACCATACTTATTTGTTTGTTTGTTTTTTTTTTTTTTTGAGACAGGGTTTCAGACAGCCCAGGCTGGCTTCAAACTCACTACACAACCAAGGACACATTGAACCCTGATCCTTCTGGCTCCCCCTCTCAAGTGCTAGGATTACAGTCATGTGCCACAGTGTCTGTCAACTTCAGCTATTTCATTTTAATAGTTTGACTTGTGCTTCTTTGTTGGGTTTTGTTTTTCTTCTGAGACAAGGTTTATCTACGTAGCCCTGGCTGTCCTGGAACTCACTTTGTAGACTAGCCTGGCCTTGAACTCAGAGATCCGCCTGCCTCTGCTTCTGGAGTGTTGGAATTAAAGGCGTGTACTACCACCCCACCCCACCTAATAGTTTGACTTTTTGTTGTAAACCATTTTTTACAGGTTTTAACAGGTGTAACAGCACTGGTTGTCCTGGAACTCACTTTATAGACCAGGCTGACCTTGAATTCACAGAGATCCACCTGCCTCTGCCTCCCCAAGTGCTGGGATTAAAGGGGTGTGCCACCACTCCCGGCTTTGACTCTTTTTTAAATGCATACAGTACAATGACTATCTGCTTGCTAGTACAAACTGGCCACATTAATAATGCTTCAGTCAGCCCTCATCATTCTGAGCAGGGGAAACTTTGAGAAAGTCGAAACTCCAAATAGATGTGTGAAGAAAGGCAGCAAATGTCACCACAGGACAGGAGACCTTCTTTCTCTAGGTGGGGAACACGGTTGTGTGTGTCCTGTCCAGTTCCCTGACCAAAGCCTAGTAGAGTAAGTTAACAGTAATCTTCCAGTCAGGGAGGACGGAGTTCTCTCGCTGGACACCCTGACTTCCTGCTGTAGGAATCACATCCCAGAGCAGCAATGCGCTGTTCCATCAGGCAGTGCTTCAAAACCTCTCTGGCCATCATATTGCTGTGGTTCTTCATCATCCTGAAGGTGCCTGAGGAAATTGAAGACGTCCAAAATGTGGTGACTATTCTTTGGGGAACTGGGCATGCACAGTGGGAAGGTGAGGACAGGCAGGTTGCCTAAGGAACCTGGCCTTTGCTTCTAACCCTCTCCACCGGGGAGCCAGAAGCTCTGAGTGGAGCTGGGGTGTGGATCTACCCATTACCCCATGAATTGGCTACATTATGTGTCATGTTTCTCAAGGTAAAGGAGGAAACAAATCCTGCCAGAGCCATGACTCTCTTGTCCCATGGCAGGCATTGTGTTGGACTTGCTCTAGAAGACTGGGTCACCTCACCTCTGCCCCTGAAATGGCATAGAGGAGGCTAGGAGAAATACTTTGTTGTTTTGTTTTGTGTTTTTTGTTTGTTTGTTTTGTTTTGTTTTGTTGGGACAGGGTTTCTCTGTAGCTTTGGAGCCTGTCCTGGAACTAGCTCTTGTAGACCAGGCTGGTCTCAGACTCACAGAGATCCACCTGCCTCTGCCTCCCGAGTGCTGGTATTAAAGGTGTGTGCCACCACCGCCCAGCTCCAGCAGAAATATTGATTGACGTATATGTCAATGGTCCAGGTGATGAGGCATAGCAGTAAGAAGAAGCCCAGATCCCTGGAAGACTGGCAGACCATCACCTCCAAATATTTGGAAAAAATCCACCAGAGAAGAAAGAGTGAGTACCAGGGAGAGGGAGCTCAAGTGTCTCAGGGAGGGGAGGATCCTATGAGGGAAGATGACTAGGAAAGAAGAGAACAGGAGGAGGAAAGGCAGAACTCTGTTCAGGAACACTTGAATCTGACTGTCAGCCCCCTCCCAGAACATCGACAAATCAGGGTATGAGGAAGAAAGAACAGATCAAGGTAGCCTTTCAATAGGTGGAATCAGGCGGTGGAAGGATAGTTCAGTGGTTAGGAGCACTTGCTTTTCTTCCAGAGGACCTGAGTTCAGTTCCCAGAATCACACACACACACACACACACACACACACACACACACACACACACACACCTATAGGCAGACTTTTCTGTGTTCCACCAGCCAGCTCTGTCCTGCTACCTAGCTCCTGAATAAAATTATCACATACCACACAGAAACTTAATATCAATTATAAATGCTTGGCCAATAGCTCAGGTTTGTTACTAACTAGCTCTTTCCAATTATTTCTTATCTGCACTCTACCATGTGGCAGTACATTTTTTCAGCACAGCATCTTGTTTCTCTGTATGTCTCCTGGTGACCGCTGCTCTCTCCTACCCAGTGCTGTCCGTAAGTCCCACCCAACCTTTTCCTGCCTAGCTATTGGCCAGTCAGCTCTTTATTAGCCAATGAGAGTAACATATTCACAGTGTACAAAAGGATTGTTCCACATCACACACCACACACACATACACATGCATACTCACATGCATAGATATATGTATAAAATACTTAAAAGTAGGTGAATACAATATGTTGACTATATATTACAAAACATTTCTGAACATTACATTGTATATAGACTCATCTGCAATATCATACATGTTTACATTGGGTAAACAAGGAGCATAACTCCATTGTGTAGCCTAATACTTCAATCTGCAATTATGATCATGCCCTAGGAATGGATGGTTATATGGCTTTTGGTGGTGGTGAGGAGCTGGAGGATGGATGATCATGTGGATTTTTGTTTTTTGATTTTGAAAGAGTCTCACCATGTAGACCAGGTTGAGTTCATAGAGAACCTCCCACCTCTGCCTCTTGAGTGCTGGGATTAAAGGCATGCGCCATTGTATCATGCTCTTTATTTTTAATTAATTGAAGGCATGTGTCTCTGTCTGTGGCTACGTGTACATGTTTGCAAGTACAAGAGGCCAGAAGAGGGCATCAGACCCTGGAGCTGCCCCTATAGGCAGTTTGTAAGCCCACCAGATGGGTGCTGGGAACTGAACTCAGGTTCTCTGTCAGAGCAGTAGGAACTCTTAACCACTGGGCCGTCTCTCCAGACCTTATGTGACCTTTTTTGGAGGGGCATCATGCCAACCATTGTTTTTTGTTTGTTTGTTTATGTGTATATAGTATATAGGTATATATGTATGGGTATGTGTGTATAGTATATAGGTATGTATGTATGGGTGTGAGTGTGTGTATGTATGTATGGGTGTGTGTATGTGTGCATGTGTGTATGTGTGGTATAGGTATGGATCCCCAGGAGCTGGAGTTTCAGGTAGACATGATCTGCCTGATCTGGGTGCTAAAAACAGAATTCTGCAACAGCATCAAGCTTTCTTAACTACTGAGCCATCTCTCCAACTCCACCAGTCTTTTTTTTTTTAACTAAGGAATCTCCCTTTGCAGCCTAGGCTGGCCTCCACCTCACTATGTATCTCAAGCTGGCGTTGAACTTGAGATCGTCCTGCCTCAGTGTCCTGGGTGCTGGTGTTACACGTATGTACCACTATGCTTGGAAACTGTGAGGCTTTATAGCATTTGAATAAGAGGGAAGAGAGATTAGTTAAAATATTTAAAAGAAGACTTGTGGCTAAGATTGTCTACTCTCTTAGGTAGAGGAATTCAATGATTAAATAAAATATGTAAAAATGAAAAGAAGCCGGGCAGTGGTGGCTCATGCCTTTAATTTCAGCACTCAGAAGGTAGAACCAGGCAGAGGCAGGTAAGTCTCTGAGTTCAAGGCCAGCCTGGTCTACAGAGTTAGTTCCAGGACTACAGAGAGGAACTCTGTCTCAAAAAAGAAACAAACAAACAAAAAAAAATCAAAAAAAAAAAGAAAAGAAGAGAAAATCATTGGTGGGAAAAAATAAAGTTAGTTGTTGTTAGAAAGATCAATCACTGGATTAAAGAACATTTGAGACAGGAGGGTCATGAGTTTTAGGACTAAACTCAGGGCTGAAAGGACTTAGCTAACACCACAGTCAGAGGTGGCAGAACTAGGGCTCCTGGGCTCCTGGACTGGGAAACTGAAACAGTTGAGTGCTTTCACAAACTGTGTATCTCAGCCACAAAGCAGCCTGGGGAGGAGAGGGATAAGTCATTTAGGCCTCCAGGTAACAGTCTATCACTCAAGGGAATCAAGACAGGAAGTCAGGCAGGAACCGGGAGGCAGGATCTGATACAAAGGCCATGGAGGGACACTGCTTATTGGGTTGCCCAGTTTGCTTTCTTCTAGACCCCAGGACCAGCTGCCCAGGGGTCAAACTCCCTGCAGTGAGCTGAGCCCTCCAACATCAGTTATTAATCAAGAAAATGCCCTACAAACTTGCCTACAGGCCAAATTTATGGAAGCATTTTCCCAATTAAGACTGCCCTTCTGCGGGGCGATGGTGATGCACGCCTTTAATCCCAGCACTCGGGAGGCAGAGGCAGGCGGATCTCTGTGAGTTCGAGACCAGCCTGGTCTACAGAGCTAGTACCAGGACAGGCTCAAGCCACAGTGAAACCCTGTCTCGAAAAACCAAAAAAAAAAAAAAAAAAAAAAAAAAAAGAGAGAGACTGCCCTTCTGCCTGGCAGTGGTGTCGCACACCTTTAATCCTAGCACTCGGGAGGCAGAGGCAGGCAGATCTCTGTGAGTTCGAGGCCAGCCTGATCTACAAAGCAAGTTCCAGGACAGCCAGGACTGTTAGAGATACCCTGCCTCGAGAAATCTTAAAAAAACAAAAAAGGTTACCCTTTTGCATGTGGCTCTAGCTTGTGTTGTGTTGACAAAAAATAACCAAGACAGTGTTTATGAAATCTGTCACCCAGTCCCTAGCACCTAGAAAGCAGACCAAACAAGAGTGGGCTCCTGGCTTTTAGAAAAAGCTCCCTGCTCCATATACCTTTGTTAAAGGGGATGTTTGGGAAGATGATTTGAACAAAAGGATAAAGCAGAAAGAATTATAGTATAACCATAACAAAAAGCTAATATTTATCAAGTCTTCAGTCACAAGCTTCAAGTTGTAAAAAAGACTCAGAAAAGGGTTGGACGTGCTGACACACACTTGCAACCTCAGCACTTAGGAGGCTGAGGCAGGAGAACGGCTGCAAGTTCGAGGTCATCTTAGGCAACAAGTGTGTTCCAGGCCAGCAGGGCACACACAGAAAGATCTTGTCTTTATTTTTTTCTTTTTTGAGACAAGTTTTCTTTGGGTAGCCCTGGCTGTCCTGGAACTCACTCTGTAGCCCAGGCTGGCCTCAAACTCAGAGACCCACCGGCCTCTGCCTCTGGAGTACTGGGATTAAAGGCATGCGCCACCACACCTAGCTAAGACCTTGTCTTAGAAAAGAATATTCAGAAGGCTCCAGCAGCCCTTAGCTTTGTATTCCCTCACCCCTTAAGTACATACAAGTGGTCTAGTTGGAACAGACTCTGAAGGTGGCATCAGGATTCTGCATACCTAGTAAATTTGCAGATGAAACTAAAATTTCAGGACGAGTGACCAGACTTAGGAGTACCAAGCTGGTGGCTCACAGCCATCTGTGATGGATCTGGTGCACAGGCATACATGCAGGCAGAACACTGTATACATAAGACATGGGGGGGGGGGGGGGGGGGGGGGGGGGTTGAGCAGGGTTTCTCTGTGTAGCTCTGGCTGCCCAGGAACTCTCTCTGTAGACCAGGCTGGCCTTGAACTCTACCTTCCAAGTGCTGGGACTAAAGGCAAGCGCCACTACTGCCTGGCTATAAATAAATCTTTAAAAAGTAAAAGTAGCAAGAATGGGGACTGCAGAGATGGTTCAGCAGTTAAGAGCACTGACTGTTCCTCCAAAGTTCCAGGTTCATATGGCAGCTCACAGCGGTCTGTAACTCCAGTTCCAGGGGATCTGACATCCTCACACAGACATGCATGCAGGCAAAACACCAATGCACTTAAAATAAAATAAATAAATCTTTTAAAAAGTTTTTTTAAGTAGCAAGAATGTTCATTCTCTCTGCCAAGCTAAAAACTAAATATCCCAGACAGCGTTCTCTCATCTGTAAGATTTATTATGTGTGTATAATAAGCACACGTGTATGGGTGGGTATACATGGAGGTCAGAAGAGGGTGTTGGATCCTGGGACTGAAGTTATAAGCTGTTGTGAGTCTCCTAACATGGGTGCAGGGAACCAAACTTGGATCCTCAGCACGAGCAGAGGATGAGCCACTTCTCCAGCCCCATTCCCTAATACTGTAAGTTTATTTTAATTGAGACAGGACCCCACTGTACTATGTTGCTCATACTGAATTCCTGGTCCTCCTGCCTCAGCTTCTCTAGTACTACGGGTAGATTACAGGCGGGCCCCCCCCCATGCCTTGTTTCTCTAGTCTGTGTGCTCGCTCTCAGCACCCCACCACACCTTGACAGTTGTCCCTGTTTTACCTCTTCTTAGCATGGCTGACAGTGGGGATCACCTCAGTGTCACGACAGGGTCAAGGTGGCCTCTTGGATACACTGGCCTCCCTGTACCACGCCTCCTCCATAGCCGAGCAGAAACGGATAACGGTGCTGGTTCACCTGGCAGATTCCAACTCTTCCTGGCTCAGAAAAACTGTTCTCCATATTTCAAGCCTCTACAGCTCACAGATCTTGGCAGGGCAATTGCTGTTGATCCATGCCCCATCCGATGCCTACCTCACTGTGAATCACGACCAGAATGAGCTCCCTCAGGGGCAGATGTACTCCAAGCAGAATGTAGACCATGCCTTCCTCATGAGCTTTGCCACAAAGCTCTCTACTTACTTCCTGTTGATAGAGGACGATGTCTTTTGTGCCCCCAATTTCGTCACCCACATTCACTCAAAGGTGATCAACAGGAAGCCCCACACATGGGTGCTCCTGGAGTTCTCTAATATGGGCTTTCTTGGCAAACTTTTCCACAACAAGGACCTTCCTCTCCTGGCCCGTTTCCTCCTCCTCTTCCACAAGGAGCGACCACTAGACTGGCTGATCCCTCACTTCCGTATCCTCCTGGATCAGCCAAACCCAATCCTCTGCAGACCTTTCCTCTTCTACCACAGGTTAGCTCGCTTCACTTTGGAGAACAAGACCTTAACAGCCCAGGAGAAAAGTCCCCACGGTCCTGATGTCCTTCCCGGAGCTGTGTTCACGGACATGAGACACTCTGGTGTTCACTCCCCCCAAGAGGCCTACGCTCTGGATGAGTCCTTCTTTTGGACCTACAATGTCACTACAGGGAACTACTGGATAGTGATTTTGAACCATCCAGTGAACCTGAACAGAGTGCAGATAAGAACAGGCTCCATCATGGACGGAAAACACATCCTCAAAAAAGGACAGGTAGAGCTAGGCTACCAGCCTGAAGGTGAGCCCCCCAACTGTACCCACTTTACCCTGCTGGGCCGTCTTGTGCAAGGGCAGATGGATCAGATCGTTCTGAAAAACATTGGGTACCAAGTGAGCTGCGTGAAGCTGATGGTAAATGCCAATCAGGCCGGTGGTCTCATGATCAGGCATGTCTACCTCTGGGAGGGCGATGCCTTACACGGAGCAGCTGACCAGAGCTGATGGCATAGGAGAGTATGAATGATTAAAAGCTTGAAGCCATTTCACTCTGGCCAATACGAATGACTTTGGAGAAACCCAAGGGAATAGTAGGCAGGGAAAAAAGGCATTAGGAAACATTCTTCCTTTTTTACCCAAACAAGCCACTCCGGTAGAATTTTGTTGTTGTTTTACTCTGACAAATGTAACTTCCTCCAGTTTGGGGAAAAGCTTTGGTCCCTCTTAGAATCCTTACATTCCTGGGATGCTTGGATCTCCCCCAGCAGGGTGTGTGTAAGCGTGTGTACACACTTCATCTTCACAGAGGTGGGAGTGGGGAGTAAGGTAGTAAGAGTGTGAGTGTGGAAAGCACACCCAGCTTTGTTCTGGTGCTGGAGACTGAGCACACACTCTGCCCTTGAGTCACACCTAGCCCCTCAGGAGTCCCGGGACTGACACACATAGCAAACAGTAAGACGGCTCAATGAGTACAAGCTCTTGCTGTACAAGTTTGGTGACCTGAATTCTATGCTGGAAACCACAGACTCCAGAGTCTGCACACACTATCAAGTTCATGACACTCAATAACAATAATAGTAATAATTAGAAATCAAGAAAGATTCTTTACAATGTTTTTCATTCTTTCTCTCATTTCCCTTTTTGTTTTGTTATTTAGTTTTTGTTTGTTTTTTTGAGACAGGTTTTTAATGTGGGATTCCCCTTTGTATGCTATGAATATATTTTATTACTATTGATTAATAAGGAAGTTGCGTTGGCCTATGGCAGGGCAGAATATAGCAAGGCAGGAAATCCAAGCAGAGATAGAGGAGGAAAGAAGGTGGAGTCAGGCAGATGCCATGTAGCTGCTGAAGGGGAAAGACACCAGAACCTTACCAGTAAGCCACAGCCTTGTGACAATACACAGATTAATAGAAATGGGTTAATTTAAGATGTAAGAGTTAGCTAAAAATACACCTGAGCCATCAGCCAAACAGTGTTTAATATAGTTTCTGTGTGATTATTCAGGTCTGGGGGGCTGGGAAACGAAAACAGTCTCTATTTACAGGTTTGTGTGTAACTTTGGCTGTCTTGAAACTCGCTCTGTAGACCAGGCTAGCCTTAGGTTCAGAGATCCATCTGCTTCTGCCTCCTGAGTGTTGGGATTAAAGGTGTACACCATCACCACTGCCTAGCTTTCTTTCCCTTTTTGGACAAAGTCTCACTATGTAGCTCAGAAAGGCCTCAAATTTGAAATGCTCCTGCCTCCACCTCCTGGGTGCTGGGATTATAGAAGTGTGCCACCATATCTACGCTGATAAATATGTATGTATGTATGTATGTATGTATGTATGTATGTATATTGCCATATATATCAGTAGATGTTAGCTAGAAAGATGATAGATAGATAGATGGATAGATAGATAGATAGATAGATAGATAGATAGATAGATAGATAGATAAAGATAATACTCACGTGAGAGAAGTTACCTGGAATGTCTCTGGCCAACAGGATTGATGTGACCTAGGTCCTACCTGAGGCCAGTCTTGGTGATTTACGTCTTGCAGCCAAAGGTGGGGAGTCACAGGGAGGTTCCTGCAGATGAAAGAGGTGGGCTTTGGAGAAACCTCACCACAGCCACCATCAAGCTACCAGTAGTGCCTAGCCTTCCTCCGATGCCTGTACCTCCACCTCTACATCTGAGTGTTATCAGTCCAGTGACCTTGAGAAGCCCCAACACCCTGGCTCACCTGACCCATCCTCAGACACGCCTTGCAGGGGGCACGATCCAACTTTCCCTTACTCAGGCTGAGATGCTATGTGGCTGATATGGGGGTGGAGGTTCAAGTATCTTTGGGGACCAGCAACTTGAGCCTGGTCAACTTGAAAAGTGGGGCTTCCGGGCTACAAAATGAAAGCACAAGCTCCCGCCCCCCACTGTGTCTGGTGGATCCTGTCAGGTCAGCGGAGCAGCTGTTATCCTCGCTGACCTCTTTCCTTGTGCTGCCTGCATCTTTGTCAAAAGCAGGGACTTCCCATTTTCTGGAATGGCATTGTAGAAGAACGGCCTTCATGTTTCATGGCCACTTTCTGCCAAGAAAGCCCACGGTCAGAAGTGATACAGGTTCTGGCTGCCTAGTTGAAACCGGAGAAACGGTGATGGTCCCTGATTCTTGAGGACCGGAGACAAACCTGCGTGGCTGATGGGTACAGCCACCGAGAGTCCAGGGACCTCCCACTGTGACCCAGCAGAACCACCTCTGTTCTCTTGGAGAGACACTTTCTGGAACTATGTAGTCCAAGATAGTTTCATATTTACAGCAATCCTGTTTCGCTCTCCTGCATGCCCGTCTCCCCTTTAGGGGAGCCTTATTTTGATTTTTTAAAAAGATTTATTTTTAACTGTGTGTGTGTTGTAGTTTTTTGTTTTGCTTTTTCAAGACAAGGTTTCTCTGTAGCTTTGGTGCCTGTCCGGGAACTAACTCTTGTAGACCAGGCTGGCCTCGAAATCACAGAGACCCGCCTGACTCTGCCTCCCAAGTGCTGGGATTAAAGGCTTGCACCACCACCAGTATGTGTGTGTTGTGTAGGTGTATATGTAAATTGCATTTCTACCAAGTGAACTCGGGAGGGAGATCTCTATGTGAAGCAGAAGCGGAACAAGTGAGCTCTTTGGTTACTGAAGTTCAAGGACAGGACAAAAGCTTCAGCATCTCCCAAACCTGGGTTTTTAATTCCAGCTAACTTATAGCTGAAAGATCTCATTGGAGTTCATTTCCTCACCTGTAAAACAAGGAGTTCCACCTACCAGGCAAGCTTGGCATGTGAAAAAAGGAATTCCTACACGTTAGACAGATGGTAGCCAGGTGGCGGCACACGTCTTTAATCCCAGCACTCAGAAGGAGGAGGCAGTTGAATCTCCATGAGTTCGAGGGAAGTCTGCTCTACAGAGTGAGTTCCAGGGCAGCCAGCGCTGTTACACAGAGAAACCCTGTCGAGAAAAACCACATTACATTAGCTCCAGCGCTGACCCACTACTACAGGCTCTTGTTCCTGGATGAAGATTCCTCAGCCTCAGCCTTCGGACTGCCCACGAACCCCGCTCGCTGGGTTTGCGAAGGGAGTCTCAGACAGGCCCAGGCGTGCAGGATGTTTCTATCACTGCCGGTCCTGCCCCAGGTGGAAAGGGAGGGGCAGGTTAGAATGAGTGTCTCCCTTCTGGTTGGGCAACTTCAAGAAACCTGAGATTCAAGAAGCAATATTGTCACCAAGAGGGCTAAGAGATAGGGCAGAGAAATCGGGTTCCCTGGATTTCCCACAAGCAACATCACTTTCCTTCCATCAGTGTGGGTGTAGATAGGCATCTGCTGGTAGGGAGAAAGAAGGGCGGGTGATAGGGACCGCTGGGTCTGGGATGCTAGACAGATAGCATCTCTACAGGGCTGTATGGCAATCAAATGTGTTTAATGTGTGAGGGAAAAGATACTTCACAGGAGGTCATGACGTTACCCGATTTAAAGTTCACCAGCGAGCTGGAGAGATGGCTCAGCTGGCAGTTAAGAGCACTGGTTGCTCTTCCAGAGGACCCTGGTTCAACTTCTAGAATCTACATGGTGGCTCACAACTGTCTATTACTCCAGTTCCAGGGGATCCAAGGTCTCCTTTGGCTTCTGCAGGCCCACATGGTGCACAGACATAAATGCAGGCAAAACATCCACACACATAAAAATAAAGGTTAAAAAGAAAGTTTTAGAGTTCTTCAGTGGCGTCCCCACAGCTTCTGGGTCAGAGACATTTGTAAGAACTCACTAAGTTCATGGCTAAGCACTGTCCGTGGCACGGCCCTTGTAGCTCATTCTGTGGGCTCTTTTGCAAGTGCAGTTTTCTGGCCTGAGCCACCTCCACCTTGCTAACCACTTGTCCTCAGTCTTTTTCCACTACCACAAAGGCTGCCAAGGTCAGGCCCTCTGTTGTTTGTTTCCTTGGAAACCTCCTTCTCTAGTTTGCACGTCTCTACAGACGGTGGCTCTTCAAGGTTCCTGATCCCCCTCTTTACACCCAAACACCTGCTTTCTGAGGTTAGAAGCTGCATGTCTGTGTTCTTCATCACTGTGGACCTGAGGTCTCACAGAGGACACTCAGCAGGCGTTTCATCTGCTGGGGGAAAAAAAGCAACCGAATCAGAAACAGCACCACCTCTAGTTTCTTCAGTCCCCTTAGCCCTGAGTCTGGGGTAGTAGCCATGTCACCGGCTACCCCACCCCACTCAATCAGCCAAGTGCATTTCTACTAGAAGATTCCAGAGAGTAGTCTTTTCCCCCTGTCTGTCCAGACTCAAAATATTAACTGAAGAATCAGCCTGTCTCCATCTTAGGCTTAAAAGCCATCTTATAGTAAAGACAAACTGGGCTCATTTCTGTTATAAACCTCTGTTTGTTTCTCAAGGATTGGGCTATACCCCACCTGTAACCTTAACTACACATGGTTCTATACTGCCCGTTCCAGGAATGGCACCCACATCATTTCAAAACAAAAGTTTATATGTTTTATAAAACATATAAAAGATGTTTATAACCATCTTGCAATCCTACCTTTGTTTCAAAAGCTTCTGTGACCACCTATGATTACCTAGTCAAGCCCCCCTTGCAAGCCTGTCTTTGTTTCAGGAGGAACTAACCTGATATGCTTATGATCTGCTTCTGCAACCTCACCTGTCCATTCACCCTCCCTGTCCCTGAGCTGTAAAAGCCTTGGCTTCTTCTCGCCCAGGGCAAACCTCTCGAACCCCACCCTAGCGGGAGGCAGCCCGTGGACACAAATAACAAATCTTGCTTGAATTTGGCCATGATGACTTGGGTCGGTGGTCTTTTCTTCTCCCATCTTTGGGATTAACATGAATCACCTGCATTTTTCCTCTAGACTCCTCTCTGAGACCCTGGCCCTTTACCACATCACCTTCAGGTTTGGGATGCTCTGTGAAGAGAGTATTCACCAGTCAGCAAACCTGTGGAGACGGCCTTCTCTCCGTGTTAATCATAGGGCAGCTCTCGGCATTCCAGGCCTAGCTGTGTGCTGTCCTAGACATCAGACCACGGACACATTTCTGCACGAGAACCCAGGGATACTTTACAAAATGGCTGGCCTCGTGAGGTATCCAAATTACCATCTGGGTCAGACGCTGTGCTAAGCATTTCCAGGGCCTTCTTTGGTACAGCTCAGAGCAACAGGCTCCATTTACCTTATTTTACCTTTGAGGTTTGTAATTGAGTGCATGAAACACATGGCATGCTCACACCGCTATTAAGTTGTGTGGACTTGGATGGGCTCTGCTAGGAGCCCCAGCCTCCTTCCTGCTCAGCAGCCACACTCAGAAGCAAGACAGGTACGAAATAGGCTGAAGTTATCTAGACCCAAGTTCGGTCAGCAGCTGAGAAGGGTTGTCTCCCAAAGATAACCTCGAGCTTGTGTCTCTGGGCTCATGTCTGAGAGAGATGCGCAGACTCCCTCCTAGGCGTGAACCCTCACCTCCTTGGTAACTGTCACAGGATCCGCAGGGATGGGACCATGTTGGAACAAGAAGCACACACAGTGGGGACCTACCTCCACGGCACGTGCTTGCCCAGCATGGTCAGGACCCTAGGTTTAACCCCCAGCCTGGGGCACTGGGGCAGGGCACAGACAATCACAATGTATTCAAAAGAGGTGGCAGGAATTTGAGTCAGTGAGCTTGACTTCAAGTCTGTTAACTTCAAGATGTTAGGGATTTTTTTTTTTTTAAGTTCTATTTTGTTTGGGCCTGGATGGAGTGTCAGGCTGAGAAACAATTTCTAAAGTATGCACCATCTGACCATCCTGTTTCCTCAAATGTCTGGGGCCCTAGGCTGCGGTTTTCAACTCTGGCTGCACATTTGCTTCACTCAGGAAGGCTATAGAAAACAAACGGGCCTACTCCGGAGCAACTCCACTGTGACTCCAGGGTAAAGCCAGGGACAGCAGCAGTTCTTAAAGGCTGTCCTGGAGGCTGGAGACAGTTCAACGGTTAAGAGCACTTGTTGCTCTTGAGGGCCTGAATCCAATGCCCTCTTCTAATCTCTGAGGATACCAGGATCCAGGCATGCATAGTCCATGGGTACAAACCTTCCCAGGGATTCTGGTGTAGGCTGCACCGCCCCCCCCACCCACTCTGTTTTGTTTTGTTTTGTTTGAGGGGGGAGGGGCAGGATTTCTCTGTGTAGCCCTGGCTGTCCTGGAACTCACTCTGTAGACCCGGCTGGCCTCAAATTCACAGAGATCCACCTGCTTCTGCCTCTCCAGTGCCGGGACTAAAGGCATACGCCACCACTGCCCAGCCGGCTGCAGAACTCTTACTCAGCACAGAATTTAGAAGCTCAAGACAATCAAATCTTATCCTTCTGTTCTGTCCTTTGTACCCTAAAGAGAAGGGAGTTAGGCAGCTTTCCATCAAGTTCTTGGCAGTCTTCCCTCGGAGTCAGGGCTTATCTGTCCTCGCCTGGTCCCCACCTCCTGTTTTCCTTTTGGTTCTTGGGCAGCCCTGTGGCGCGTGTTCCGCACAGATGGCCACAATGCTGTTGCTGTGTATGCATGTCATCAAGAGGAGGGCTTGAGCCAGCTGTGCCTACAGTCTCTGCACTTCAGGGGATACTTTGAGACGAACCTGGGCTATACAGTGAAACTCCGCCTCAAGAACGAAAAAAAAAAAAAGGGAGGGGAAAACTTTATTATCTCTCAGCAACTTTGACTTTTAGTCTAGCAATAAAGTCAGGGAGGGAAATGACCAAGAAAGACTCCAGGAAGGTCCCTCAGCCATCTGTGCCTGCCTGACTGATGAGGATCTGGCTAAGGAGCACTCCAGGAGACATGGGCTCCACGGATAGGTGAGGCAGAGCTGCTGTCCTGAGTCCGGGTGCCTACTTCAAAGGAAGCTCACAGGTTGATGTTTCTGGGGTCCAGGAACTACTGAAAGGCTTTATGAGAGACTCCCTTACTTGATTTGCAGCTCCTCTCTGTGCCAACCTGTAACCGTGGGACCTTACCCAAAGTAAAGATGTCTATACCAGTGGTGAAGAGCACTGACTGATCTTCCAGAGGACCTGGGTTCAATTCCCAGAACCCTCATGGTGGTTTAAACTATGACTCCGGTTCCAGGAGCACCAACACCCACTGCAAAGCACCAACACACATAAAATAAAAGATGTTTCTACCATAGCGTCCTCCCAACAGCGACACTGTGACTTATGCATCTCTCAGTGTTTGTATTTCTGTATTTTAAGCCCGTAAGCAGCAGAACTTTTGGTCTGCTCTAGGGTTAGGCCTGGGTTCTAAATACTAAATACCACCCAGGATTGTGGCCTGCTTTACCCAACTACTGGTGTGTAATTGTGGGGCACAGAGAGGAGCTGCAAATCAAGTAAGGGAGTCTCTTGCGTGGAGCAGATCTTAGAGGCAGACAGCAGGCTGTGTTGCCCAATGTCTTTGCAGCTAAATCAGTTGGTACTCTGAAATCATGGAATCAAAACAAAAGAATCCTGCCACTCTAATAATGCTTACCAGAATTATTCTTGCTACACTTAACATTAGAAAATGTGAAAATTAAGAAGTTCTGAAGAAGCTACCCACTTACTTCTAGAGTGACAGTTCTCGCCTGCCATCTCCCGCGTGAAGAATCATTTACTCTTTCGACTTCTATTCCGTTCCCGTGTCTAACGCCAAACCACATTTGTGACTCAAAGCAGTAGAAATTGGTTCTTTCAGAGTTCTGAAAGCCGAAACAGAAATTCATTTTTCTCAGGATCAAAAATTCAAGTGTTGGGGCTGGAGAGATGGCTCAGTGGTTAAGTGCACTGCCTGTTCTTCCAAGGGTCCTGAGTTCAATTCCCAGAAACCACATGGTGGCTCACAACCATCTGTAATGAGATATGGTGCCCTCTTCTGGCCTGCAGGCATACATGCAGACAGAATGCTGAGAATACTGTATACATAATTAAATAAATCTTAAAAAAATCCAAGTATTGCTGTTAAGTGAAAAACAAACAAATACAAAAAAAACCAGACTTAGACAAAAATGAAAGAGGGAGAGAGAGAGAGAATGTTTTCCTGCTGGCCTTTAATCCCAATACTCAGGAGGCAGAAGCAGAGGCCAGCCAGGGTTACATAGAGAGATCCTGTCACAAAATGGATAACTTTGTCCTTGTCATTTTGCCAGGGCTGCTGTAGCAAAGTACTAAACGCGTCAGCGTTGGCAGGGCTGGTTCACGGGGTCGGGCTCATGGGGCTGGGGTGGGTGGGGGCTCATGGGGGGTTCATGGGGGGGGTGTAGTGGGGGATCATGGGGTGTGGGGTAGGGGTTCCTGGTGGTGGGGTGGGGCTCATGGGGTGTGGGGTGGGGTTCATAGGGTGTGGGGTTCATGGGGTGTGGGGTAGGGTTCAATGGGGGTGGGGTAGGGGTTCATGGGGTGTAGGGTGGGGGTTCATGGGGTGTGGGTGGGGTTCATGGGGTATGGGATAGGGGTTTATGGTGGTAGAGTGGGGGCTCATGGCATGGGGTGGAGGCTCATGCAGCATGGGGTGGGGGCACAAGAGGGTGCAGTTCTGAGCCTCTGTCCCTGGCATAGTTCCAGCCTTCACTGGGCATTTTCCCTGTGCCCACATCAGACCCGGGTTCTTCTCCTTTTTAAAAGATACTTTTTTTCATCTTTAAAATACTTTTATTACAGTTGGGTGGTGGCACATGCCTTTAATCCCAACACTCGGGAAGCAGAGGCAGGCGGATCTCTGTGAGTTCGAAGCCAGCCTGGTTGTGAGTCTTCCATTGTGAGTGGGTGATAGGAGCTAGACTCTGTGCTATCTTTCCAGGCCCCTCATCTTTAGGAGTAGCTGTAAGGACTTTTATATATATATTTGGTTTTTCAATACAGCATTTCCCAGTAGCTATGGAGTCAGTCCTGGAACTAGCTCTTGCAGACCAGGCTGGCTTCAAACCCACAGAGATCCACCTGCCTCTGCTTCCCAAGTCCTGGGATTAAAGGCATGTACCACCACCGCCCAGCTGCTCTCTCTCTCTCTCTCTCTCTCTCTCTCTCTCTCTCTCTCTCTCTCTCTCTCTGGTTTGTTGGGGTTTTTTTGGGGGGGTGTTGTTTTTTTCAAGACAGGGTTTCTCTGTAGCTTTGGAGCCTGTCCTGGAACTAGCTCTTGTAGACCAGGCTGGCTTCAAACTCACAGAGATCTGCCTGCCTCTGCTTCCCGAGTGCTGGGATTAAAGATGTGCGCCACCACCACCCGGCCTGCTGTTTTTCTCTTAAAGATTTGTTGTATGTGCACACTTGCCTCCATGTGTGTGAGAGTGTCAGATCCTCTGGAACTGGAGTTATAGATGAGCCACCATGTGGGTGCTGGAAACTGAACCTGGATCCTCTGGAAGAACAGCCGGCACTCTTAACAACTGCGCCATCTCTCCAGCCCCATGATGCTTCTCAAGAGGTCTGAGATTGTTCTTTGCCTTTGTGTGATTTTATTTGTAAAATCTGAGGTCTCAAGAGGCCTCACGACTTGGTTCTGCTCTGGAAGCGGCCATACAAAGTCCGATTACACTGTTGAAGTCTAAGATCCTCTCCCCAGCCTTTCCAGCTAAGGCCTCAGACATGGGTGCAGCCATCTTGGGTTGTCCCAACCAGTCCCACACAGCGAAGGTGAACCACCACCATCTAGTCCTGCCCACGTTACAGAATCATGAGTGAAGAAAAGATGCTGGTTATAAACTACCTAGTTCCAGGGTAGTTTTTTGTTTTCTTTTGTTTCTGAGACAAGATTTCCCCTTGTAGCCCTGACTGTCTTAGAACTCAGTCTGTAGACCAGGATAGTCTCAGATTCACAGAGATCCACCTGCCTCTGCCTCCCAAATGCTGGGATTAAAGGTGTGCACCACCACCACCCAGCCCTGGGGCAGTTTATAATATAGCAAGAGATAAGTGCAAGAAGGCCTTCCATTTGCTGTTTCCATTCCTTCGGCAGACCTTCAGTGTGCCTAGTGTCTGTTTATCACTCGGAGAAGTTCTCGGGGCTTACTGCTGGCTGAGTGGCTGGGAATGGGGACAAAGTTGAGCCTGTATAAAATGAATAGCCCCTCTGACCTGCCCAAGAGCTTCTTCACGCCTGCGTGAGAAGCTGGGGCTCTGGGAGAGCAGGGCAGGGACAGAGGGTACTGAGGGGGCTTTGTCCAGGTGGGCTTGCAGCCAGAGCTGGACGCGCAGAGCAGACGGTGTGGGCTTCAGAACACTGAAACCTCGGGGGGTAGGAGGAGAAACACAAGTAGTGAGAGGCCTTGGCGGAGGGAAAATTGGAACGATTAACCATTGAGAATGAATGTCTTCAATTAGGGGTGTCTTCAAAAGAGCGTAATTGGGGAGAGTGAAGAGTCGCGGAGAGGCACAAAGAGGCGGTTTTGTAGGATGGGAACAGAGGATGATTATGTGGAGAAGGGCAATGGTAGAGCCAGGGCTGAAGTGCACAGGCCCCCTTTCCTCCTTTGTGGAAGGTTACAATCACAGTGGCTGGTAATCGCCCAACTACGCAGGGCTTACTAAGTTTCACCACCATGTGGCTGCTCCTCCCAGCCACTTCAAGGTAAGCGGCATTGTTCGCGTCTTGTTTTATAGAGCAGGAAACTGAGGTCCGGCAGCATCGCCAAGAACATCGAGTAATAAGTGGCAAAGCTCGGATTCAAATCCAGACATTCTGGCTTCAGAATGCGCTCTTAGCCACTAATGATGCAGCAGAAACCCAGCAAAACAGATACCCACGCCGGTTCTTGTGCCTAAAACAAAGCAATTAGACACGGCTTGGGCTTGGGCTGGAAAGTGTATCCAAGGGGCACAGGCACGGTAGTGGGGCTTATTCTCCTGGCTATAATGGCAAAACAGGCCAGGATTTTCTGTCTGCCCCTCCCTTGTTACTGCGTGAAATCCTTTAAGGGATTTGTCCACTGTCTTCCCAACAACTTAAGATCAGCCATTCCCAGAAGAGACAGCCTCACACCTCCTAGGGGCTTGCCTGAGGCAGGTAGGGAGCCTGCTCAGACTGAGGGGACAAGGCAGACTCCAGATCAGTGAGGAGGGATGGGGTGCAGGGGTGGGAGAGCTATAGCTCAGACACCCTCATTGTTCAGGTTCTTTCTGTCTGGCCTCTGTAGATATTCCATAAGAACCAAGATGGGTGTTCTCAAATGAGGATCAAGCCCAAGTTCTTTAATTTATAAGCAAAGAAGACACTCCTTGCCCAGGTCCTAACCATTCTGTGTAAGGAGTGGGACATTGTTTTTCCCACAGCTGCTGCAGTGCACTGTCTTTTCCAAGACCAGGAACCAGGGAAGGGCGAGGAAGGGAAAAGGAACCACCTGCTTCCTGCTGGCCTCCTAGCGTCAAGGGAAGCGCACACTATGACTTCAGTCACATCTCAAGCAGGCATTCCCAGCTTTCCTTGGGCAGTCAGTGCGCCAGGGAGTCGCACAGGGATAGCTCAGCCTGAGGCTAAGGCCCAAAAGTCTGTCACTGATATGGTTTCTAACATATCCCTCTGTCCCTGAACAACGAGAATGAGTCATTGTGAAGCAAGGCGCCAAGAACACAGGGAACAACCTACATTAGTTGCCGCTCAGGTTTTAGTGGCTCCCACCTTTCTCTGACCATAACTGAGCAGCTCCCAGAGCCCACCCACTCTGAGTCCAGCAAGATGGCTTGGCTGGGCAAGGGCATGAGTCTAGTCTCTGCACTCTACAAGGTGGAACAAGGCGGAAAGAAGTGACTCCTGGATATTGTCCTCTGACTCCACCTCCTACCTCCACCCTGGATACACATTTGAGCATTAAAAAACAAAACAAACAAACAAACAAAAAACAGCAACATCAAAAGGCGCCACACTCTGCCCTCAAAGCAAGGCTCGTATGCTTTGGGGATGCTCTTCTCACTTCTTAGTCTGAGCCCCTGGGCAATGAGATAGAAGGGAGAAGTCTGCCTCTTCCTTGGACACACCCCTATTTTTCTCTAGCTTCCATTTTACCTTCAGCAGAAGCATTAGGAAGCTACCCCATTCTAAGACAGTATACCGCCCCCTTATCATGATCCTTCCCGGCCCGCCAGGCCAGTACTCAGCCCTCAAAATCCTGCCACAAGCCCAGCATCTGCTTCGTTCATGTGTCTACTGGGAGTGCTCACGTCACACTGTGATTTGCTTACACAGCCTAGCTTCCTCTTCCTAGCTGTGTTCCTATCTGGCCCAGATTCACGGCAAGTAGGTGTCATGCCCCGTGTGCTAGAGATCCCTTAGAAATGGCCATGTCAGGGGATTCTAGCATTTTATCAAGGCTCATGAGTGTGTGTGTGTGTGTGTGTGTGTGTGTGTGTGTGTGTGTGTGAGAGAGAGAGAGAGAGAGAGAGAGAGAGAGAGAGAGAGAGAGAGAGAGACTGCTGGGTTGGCTTAACAGAACAGCTAACTCTCGTTTTGTGATGGTTGGCAAACCTTTTTTTTTTTTTTTGGTTTTTCGAGACAGGGTTTCTCTGTGGCTTTGGAGCCTGTCCTGGCACTAGCTCTGTAGACCAGGCTGGTCTCGAACTCACAGAGATCCGCCTGCCTCTGCCTCCCGAGTGCTGGGATTAAAGGCGTGCGCCACCATCGCCCGGCTTTGGCAAACCTTTTTGAGACAAGAGTTCTCCTGTGTAAATCAGGCTGAATTGCAACTTGAAATTCTCCTGCCTCTACTTCCCAAGTTTGTCTACTCTCTTGGAGGGGTAGGGTGAGTAAATGGGATGGTTTGAGACCCTTTCACTCTGCATCTTAGATTGGCCTTGAACTCACTATGTATCTTAACACTCTCATCTGATCCCCCCCCCCTCCAATTCTTTGTTTTTTTCTCTCTCGCTCTCCCTCCTCACATTTCCCACTCCTCTTTCCCCCTCACTCCCTCAATAGAGATTGAACACAGAAATGTTCAGCTACATTCTCAGGACAGAGGCCTGCTTGTTGAATTCTGTCATAGGTCAGGTACTTTGGATGGACATCTAGAGTTTTCGTTTCGTTTTGTTTTGTTTTTTTTTTCCAACAGGGTTCCTCTGTGTACCAACCCTAGCTGTCCTGGAACTCATTTGTGTAGACCAGGCTGGCCTCGAACTCACAGAGATCCGCCTGCCTCTGACTCCCAGGTGTATGTGCCACCACCGCCTGGTGGACCTCTAGAGTTTAGGCCAATCCTCTAGTCTGTAGTCCTTGGATCATCATTCCACGGTCTCCACTAAGCCAGCTGCCCAGGGATTCCTGGGGAATGTTAGAAATAGATGATTCTGCCTACAGAAAGTTATCCAGGACCAAGTTCATCTGCTGCAGGTTTCTGTAATTGAGAAGGATCCCAGCTTGAGATTCATGATCATGGTTACTTAGAGTCCCTTAATAAGATTCATTGAGGGACCGGGTGGTGGTAGCGCATGCCTTTAATCCCATCACTTGAGAGGCAGAGGCAGGTGGATCTCTGTGAGTTTGAGGCCAGCCTGGTCTACAGAGCGAGTGGCAGAACAGGTTCCAAAGCTACACACACACACAGATTCATTAAGGGTCAAGAGTTTCAGACTCAATTATTTATTTTTAGATTGATTATTATTTTATGTGGATGGGTATTTCGCCTGAATGTATATGTATCTGTGCACCACGTTCATTTCTGGTGCCCAAGGAGGTGAACCTCCATGTGGGCTCTGGAAATCGAATCTGGGTCCTTTGCATAACAATTGCTCTTTACCACTGAGTCAACTCTCCAGATCCTTAGACTCAGCTTCTAAGGCAAGAATTTCTCTTATCTAGCCTGGTCTACAAGAGCTAGTTTCAGGACAGGCTCCAAAGCTACAAAGAAACCCTGTCTTGAAAAATCAAAAAAAAAAAAAAAAAAAGAATTTCTCTTTTCCATCCTCACCCACTCGGGTCTCCTAATATCAAAAGAGCTTTGGCAGGGCTCTCCCAGGGACACAACCCAATCAAGGGTTTGTAGAAGTAGGGTGTGAAGTCAAAGCACAAGCTGTAGATTTAACAAAGACTGTTCTTGATTTTTATTTTCATTTTTTAATTTCACTTATTTATTTATTTTTGTTTTTTCAAGATAGGGTTTCTCTTTGTAGCCCTGGCTGTCCTGGAACTCACTCTGTGGATGAGGCTGGCCTCGAACTCAGAGATCTGCTTTCCTTTGCCTCCTGAGTACTGGGATTAAAGGCCTTGAGTTGTTGAGACTAAGGACAGGGTGGGGGAATAGGAGACAGGAGATGAAGCCAAGCCAGAGACTGCCAGATCTCTCGACTCACAGTTCCTATCATTTCAAGACCTGGGTTCTGGGCTGTGGTACCCTCCTGGAGGCCAATCAGGCAAGGCCTACAGAAACACATAATCTGTCTCTGCATGGACGACAGTCCTAGCCTACTGAACCCAAACCTAAAGCAAGGCCACAGGAGACATGCTCAGATGACTCCAAGGTGCATCAGTACTTAAACAAAGCTTGAAGCCAGGCAGACGGCTCAGCTATCCCAGCTGCTGTGAAGCAAGGCAGAGGCTGAGTCAAGTTCAGCATGGGCTCCAGAGATGTCCTGGATTCCAACCCAAACCAACCAACCGCAAAAATCCACTTGCCCCAAATAGCAGAGGCATGACCAGAGCCCCCAGAATTGAAAGTCCCAAACTCAGAGCAAAATAAAAATATTAAAGGCTCTATGTTCCTAGTGGGGACTGGGCTGGGCTAGGTTCTACTCAGTGGTCTTACTAAGACCAGAATCTGTCTCCCTGAAGGTTCTCTATCTTTTCAGAGAGCATAAACCAGCCACCTCTGCCTGGCACAGGGTAACTTGTCAAATACATCATGAAACAGAAGCCTTCCTATCCCAGCCCCTGGGCTGTGCTAGAAAGAGGCACCTGTTCAATCTTTAGCTATTATCAGAACCTTTCACTAATACATTGTTTTTTGTTTGTTTGTTTGTTTGTTTTGTCTTGTTTTTTGGTTTTTCAAGACAGGGTTTCTCTGTAGCTTTGGAGTCTGTCCTGGAACTAGCTCTTGTAGACCAGGCTGGCCTCGAACTCACAAAGATCCTCCTGCCTCTGCTTCCCGAGTGCTGAGATTAAAGGCGTGTGCCACCACCGCCCGGCTAATAATACATTGATCTTTAAGACCATGTGTTCAGACCTGGCTAGTCTCTAAAACAAATTCCCTAGTTATCTCATTAGGGACTCCATTGATAATGAGACTTCAAATTTCTGTTCAAAAGGTTTCAAACACTTTTACAAAGTTATTTCATGGGCCAGAGAGATGACTCAGAAGTTAAGCACACTGGCTGCTCTTCCAGAGGACCTGAGATCAATTTCCAGCAACCATATGGTGGCTCACAACCATATGATCTGATGCTCTTTTCTGTCCTACGTGCCTATATATAGTCAAGACACTGTATGCATAATCAATAAATAAATCTTTTTTAAAAAAGTTATTTCATATGTTCATGGCCAAAAGAGGAGAAAGGTTCTCTTTTGGAATCCTGCTTGTTGGCTTCTGTGCCTGGAGCTTACAGTTTTGTTTTGTTTTTGCAGAGTTTCTCTGTGAAGCCCTGGCTGTCGTGGAACTCAGCCCACGCTGTCCTGGAACTCAGAGATCCGCTTGCCTCTGCCTCCTTATGCTAGGATTATGAGCCACCACCGCCTGGCTGCATCTTACATTTTAAATCTTTTTTTTTTTTTTTTTTTCGAGGCAGGGTTTCTCTGTGGCTTTGGAGCCTGTCCTGGAACTAGCTCTGTAGACCAGGCTGGTCTCGAACTCACAGAGATCCGACTGCCTCTGCCTCCCGAGTGTGCATCTTACATTTTAAGATGGCCTGGGCAGGTTACCTGTGAGTTCAACCTCTACTATCCATGAGGAGGGAGGCTAGGTTAAAATTTAAGGTGTGTATTTCTTCTGGGCATTGGCATTGGACAGATCCTTCCCAGAAGATAAGGGCTGTAGAAGACTCAACCTTTGTTGGGGTGGATGAGGGACAGGGAATATGTAAGGACCGACATGATGGCCCAGGGCTGAGCCATCCTTGAAAGTCCTTGTCAGGATGGCATCTGCAGGGGCTGGGAAACAGTGGGGTTAGTGACAGAAAACTGGGGGACACCAGGTGCTCTACCGTACCCACTTCTCCACAACTACAATGTACTGATCTTTCTCCAGAGCAGCCCTGTCCTCCCTGGCCTACCCACAGACTAGCACACTGAGACATGCTTGCCACACATCAGTCAAACTCAAGGTCAAGGCAGTCTGGGTCTTAGAGATGGCCATGGTGGTGGTCAGCACACAGCTACCCGCAGCACCTTGGGTAGCTCATGTCCAAGCACCATGGGGGTAAGGGACTAGAAATTGATGCCATCCTAGGAAGAAACAGGAGGTGGTCTCAGTAGCTGGTTTTTTGTGCTTTGGAAAGATGTTGAAATAGCAGCGGCAGGGCTGCGTCCCCGGCACCCGGCTGCCCGCATGGCTAGCTTATGCCCGAAATAATTACACGGAAACTGTATTCTTTCAAACACTGCCTGGCCCGGCTAGTTCCAGCTTCTTATTGGCTAGCTCTTACATATTGTTCTAACCCATTTCTAATATTCTGTGTAGCCCACGAGCTGGCTTACCAGGGAGGATCTTAACCTGCGTCTGTCTGGAGCGGGAGAATCATGGCGACTCTCTCTCAGCTTCTTTTTCCCAGAATTCTCTTCTGTCTACTCCGCCTACCTAATTTTCTGTCCTATGAGGGCCGAGGCAGTTTCTTTATTAATAAGAAATCACTCCCACATCAGAAAGAGTCTACAAAGATTCCACAACTGGTCAGGCAGTGATGGCACATGCCTTTAATCCCAGCACTTGGGAGGCAGAGACAGGCAAATCTCTGAGTTTGGGGCCATCCTGGTGAGTTCCAGGACAGCCAGGGCTACACAGTGAAACCCTGACTCAAGGAAAAAGCAATCCCACCCCTGGGGAAAGGACAGTTACTGTTATCTGATATTTTACCACCTGGAAGAAACAAGGAAACAGCCACGGCGACAGAAACCTGTAATTCCAGGGGCAGGTGAAATGTCTTAGGAGGTCAGGGCGCTTGCTGTCGCTGGGTCCAATGACCAGAGTTCAGTCCCTTGGATCCCTGTGATATAAGGAGAAACCAACTCCATCGATTGCCCTTTGACCTCCACACACATGTTGTACTATGATCACCGGCAAGCAGGCCCATGCACACAGACACTGAACAAATGAATAAATCAATGTGAGAAAGAAAGAAACCCACAATTCCAACGCTCGGGAAGCCAGGGCAGAAGGACACTGTGTTCCAGGACACCACGGCCTGCAGAGAACGGGTCTGTCCTCAAACAGACAAACATTTAGGACAACTGGGTCAGTTTGAATACTTATTTGGTATTCTTTTTTTTTAAATTGTGCTGTGTGTGTGCGTATATGTCACAGCATGCACGTGGAAGTCGGACGACAACTTGCCTGAGTCAATTCTCTTCCTCTACGCCGTGGGTCCACGCGATGCAGCTCAGGTCATCCGGCTCGGCAGTTGCTGCCTTTCCCTGTGGAGCCACCTCACCAGTCCTTATTCGGGGAAGTGCCATTAATTCCATTAGGTATAATATAAGAACAGATGTGGAGAGCTGGAGAGATGGCTCAGTGGTTAAGAGCACTGCCAGCTCTTCCAGAGGTCCTGAGTTCAATTCCCAGCAACCACATGGTGGCTCACAACCATCTGTAATGAAATTTGCTCCCGTCTACTGGCCTGCAGGCACAGACACAGGCAGAACACTGCATACATAATAAATAAATAATTTTTCTAAAAAAGAATAGATGTGGAGCTAGAGAGAGGGCTCGGTGGCAGAAAGCTACTGCTCTCGCAGAAGACCCAGGCAGCTCCCAGCACCAATGTGACTCATAACAGCCTGCAACTCCAGCTCCCGGGGATCTAAAGCCTCTGGCCTCAGGCACCTGCACTCACAGGCGCGCACACACAGACACAAAATCAAAAATAATAAAGTCCTTTAAAAAGTAAATAGAAAATAAAAGAACCACTAAACAAATGTATTTCATAATTGAGGTTGTTTTCCCTCCTTGAAAAAAATGGTTGCTTCCAGCCAGTGCCCCAAGGGCAGCAAGTTCACTGATTCCTAACGCAGTGAGAGTTCCTAGGAACAGCAGAAACTTTTCCTAATGTGGCAACAGCCACAGTGAGTGTCTCAAGATGTAATCCCCCTTCCCCTGGCCTTTGCAGCCTGAACTAGAGAACAGCCCCTTAACCAGCAAATAACTATTATCTGCAAGTCCAGGTGTCTGTGGTCACAGCCATATAGCAGGACCACCGTGCAGGAAGGCGAGTATGCTTTGCTCTTCCTTCCTTCTTTTTCTTTCTTTCCTTCCTCCCTCCCTTTTTCTTTCTTTCTTTCCTTCCTTCTGTCTTCCTTCCTTCTTCCCTTCCTTCCTTTTCTTTCCTCCCTTCCTCTTTCCTTTCCTTCCTTCCTTCCTTCCTTCCTTCCTTCCTTCCTTCCTTCCTTCCTTCCGACTTATTTATGTATGCATTGGTATTTTGCCTGCGTGTCTGTCTGTGTGAGGGTGTCAGGTCCCCTGGAACTGGAGCTGCAGACAGCTGTGGGTGCTGGGAACTGAACAGGGTCCTCTGGAAGAGCAGCCAGTGCTCTCCACCACTGGACCATCTTGCCAGCCCCCAGAAGAGTATGCTCTCTGATGCCACCACTGCCATGTTTAATCTTTCTAGAATCTGTTCCTATAGCAGTGGTTCTCAACCTGTGGGTCATAACCCCTTTGGGGGTCACATAGCAGATATCCTATATATCAGATATTTACATTATGATTCATAACAGTAGCAAAATTACAGTCATGAAGTAGCAACCAAATAATCTTATGGTTGGGGAGGGGGGTCACCATGATGTGAGGAACTGGATTAAAGAGTCTCAGCATTAGGAAGGTTGAGAACCACACTGCTCTAAAGCAAAGCCCATAAAACTTAAACTTAGTTCTACGGGCCAGCTCGTTAGGAACGGGGTGGGTGATGAGGTGGGGATTAAATGAGTTTATTACTCCAAGAGGAAATGACAGGTGCAGAACACAAGAAGCCTTTGACTCCTACACCCCCTAATCTGACGAAGGCCATTCTGTATTTCCCAAATTGTTCCCTCATCCAGTTGTGCAATGCACACTTAAGAGGCTGCAGCAGGAGCCCGGCTCCTGGTTAGACAGCTCTACAGAACAAGATACCGGGGAGGTGGGTAGCAATTCCCTTCAGAGAGCCCAGTCACCTGTCTGTGCCCCTGGCAAGTGTAAATGAGGAAGCCGCACCCTTGGCTTCTGGCCCCAAGGCCTCATTTCTCTGAGAGTTCAAGGGTCACCTGCCCTATTCTTTCCATTCTCAGTGCATACGTGTCTCCTGGAATTTCTCTTAGTGACTACATGTGTCATGTGTTAATCCTCTTTACCCTCAACTTGCCCTGAGCCCTGTGGGACACCAGCTTACCGACTGGATGCTGCACTTGGACTTGACAGCAGCAGCGACATCCAGAGGCACTCGGCTTTCACAAAGGAGCAGATGCCAGGCAATGAACTTCCCACTCTTGACCGTCTGATTGGACTGTGTAGTGTTCACTCATTTCTCACCATGGGCCTTCTCAGCTGGGACAGGTGAATAGGTCCTCGGGAAGCTGGAAGCAGGGTAGGGCACCTGAGAGGTCTGGAACTCCATGACGTCCACATTGAGGGCACCAGCAAACAGAGAGCTGGAAGACACGACCTGGCTCATGAACCTGTTGTAGGTCAAGTACTCAGTGTCCAAGCTGCAGTGACAGATGCCACAGATGGTTTATCATGAAGGTCCAGTCTGAGAACTCAGTGTGGTGTGGGGGCTAAGGCTGGAGCTGCAGGGCTCACATGCTGTGGACATGTGGGGCTGTAGACATGTAGTTTGTAGACAGCAAACTCCAGCCTGGACTTCTTACTCAAGAGGAAGATGCAGTGTTAAACAGGGAGTTAAAGCCTCATAGCTCCGAGGACAGCAAGCCCTGGGCAGTGTCCTGGTCTGTTTAGACAAGGGACCACACTGTTAAGGATACAGGTGGTATGTCTCTTGTCCCCAGCCCCTCCCTCTTAGAGAACTCTGACTGTCCATACAGTGATTATTACCAACATAAGAAATATTAGCCGGTAGTGGTGGCGCATGCCGGTAGGATTTGCTGAAGGAGGCAGAGGCAGGAGGATCACGAGTTCGAGGCCAGCCTGGGCTACACATTTTATCTTCCAATTTCTTTATAAAAATAAAGAACATAGGGCTGGAGAGACGGCTCAGAGGTTAAGAGCACTGGCTGCTCTTCCAGAGGTCCTGAGTTCAATTCCCAGCAACCACATGGTGGCTCACGACCATCTGTAATGAGATCTGGCGCCCTCCTCTGGTGTGCGGGCATATATCGAGGCAGAACGTTGTATACATAATAAATAAATCTTAAAAAAAAAATAAAGAACATATAGTCAAACTAAAAAACATATTATTTCCACATAAGAAAGATTTTGAAGCATAGTTTATACTCCTATATCTTATATGTAGAATGAAAGGTTTGACAAGCCTATATAGATATTAATTATATAATCAAAACAAACAAGACACAGAAATGCCCATCACTATCCAATGGCTCTTATAATTTCTTTTACCTCTGTGAGGAAAGAACACTTACAAGACTTTTGAAGTTCTTGACAGACAGGTGACTTAGTAGTTGGGCACAGTGAGATGGCTGAATCTACACAAAGCCCCAGGACCCACCCTTCCCTAGAGCCTTAGAGCCTCTAGTAATCCTAATGTTCCTTGAGCCAAAAAGTAGCCAACTCCCAAATACATGCATAAGTATTGCATTAGAAAGGTATTTTGGCTGGGGAGTGGTGATGCACACCTTTAATTCCAGCACTTGGGAGGCAGAGGCAGGCGAATCTCTGAGTTGGAGGCCAAGCCTAGTCTACAGTGTGAGTTCCAGGACAGTCAGTACTGTCTCACAGGAAAACCCTGTCGCAAAAAACAGAAAGAAAGAAAGAAAGAGAGAGAGAGAGAGAGAGAGAGAGAGAGAGAGAGAGAGAGAGAGAGAAAGGGGTTTTGTTTCCCTTCTTTCTAAGGACGGGCTCACAGAACTCAGAGGTCCCAGTGTCTACTGAAGCAGCCAAGCAAATCTCCACCATTTCTGTAGAGCCGCAGAGCCAAACATTGGCTCCCAGCTGGCTTCACTCTCAGACAGTGAGGAGTAAACTGGAAAAGTACTTAAGAGCTAAGGGAGGCTCTCCCAGCTGGACGGATCTACAGAGTCCAAGAACAACAATCGACTGTTAGAAACGGATCAAAGTTCAAAGAAGGTTTGAACCAGGAAGACAGGAAAGCAGCAGAAGAGAAGTGCGAGCCCAGGAATTCAGGGTAGAGAGCAGGTTACTCCAGCTTCCCAGCCAGTATCCACACCAAGCAGGACACATAGCTCCCCCTAGGGGAAGCTGGGAAGACAAACGGGACAGAGGAATGACGTCTGCGGCTTCAGCCACAGGCTGTGTGGTTTCCCTTTCTCCTGTACTTGGTAATCTTCTAAACCAGGGAGGGAGGGCTAAGGATGCAGTGATCTCCTGCAGGTGCCGGGACACCTGGCTCCACGCAGCAGTCTTCAGATTCATCCCAGGACCAGATTGGCTATCTCCTCCTCCATGGGTACACGGCCATGGGTACAGTTGTTGGCAGCATCTTCCCTGTTGTTCAGGATGGAAGAGCTGCCAACAGTAGCCAGTTCCTACTCCCTCTTGAGAGAAAGGAGAAAGGCAAAGACAGAGGAACTAATCTCATTTCCTGAGAGGGCTCAAGGTACTCCCAGCTTTGCTGGAACACTGTACGGTGTAATGGCATAGGCACAACAGAGCGATAGACACGTTGATCTCCATGAGACCACTTCTTTTTTTGGCAGGGGAGAGATTCGAGACAGGGCTTCTCGTGTAGCCCTGGCTGTCCCAGAACTAGCTCCGTAGACTAGGCTAGACTTGAACTCAACAGAGATCCACC